CAATCAATCAATCAAACTGTACTATATAGCCCATATGAAGCTAGTAGCGAATCCAGTTCTTGTTTGTAAATAGTATCCACCAGGTAATTTATATTCACATCCCCACATATTATTATGTTTTCTGAGTTTCTGCACAATTTGTTCAGGAATTTGTTTAAATTTTCCAAGAAATAATTAAAATCACCAGTTGGGGCCCTATAAATACATATTATGTACATACTTGGTGAATTCACTTGAACACCACACATTTCTAGATCTTTCTCTTTACATGTAACAATATTGTTTATATGTGTAAATTGTATATTCATTCGGACAAAGATACATACACCTCCCTGCTTAAAATTTTTCCTGCAGTATTTGCTAGCTAATACATATTGGTTCAGAGTAATACTGTTTATTTCAAACTCTTTTAAATGATGCTCTGATAAACAAATAGCATGTGGTAGCTCAGAAGTAAATGCTAATATTAATTCATCTGTTTTATTATTGATACTCCTAATATTTTGATGGTAAATTATGAAGTTATTTTGATTCATTACATTACAATTATTTGACTTAAAATTACGTTTATCATAAAGTTAATAGAAAGTCCGTCGAGTGTAACAATTTGTAGGTCACTTTTTTATTATTATTTCTGCCTTACATGTTTCGGTTTGACACAACCATCATCAGAGGCACTTGCTATAATTATGGAAACACTGTCGCTTTTTTTGATGTTCACAATTATGTTTGTCATGTGGACGCTGCTACGATATGTTGACGCGTAAAAGCACAAAACATGCTAAGATAGTTGAGTACACTCTCAAGTTCTCACTTTTCATCCGAACCTATTTTTAAGTTAAAACGCTAAAATGTTAAAATATTTGATATAAAATGCTGAACTCCTCCTTGTTAATTCATCCCGAAGATGGGAGACGTCAGCTTGAGGTTGTATGGCTTATGGTTTGATATGTTCCTGTGNTCCTCATTCCATCAAATCTCCATAGGCATTACCACCAGTAAAGGTACAATAGGACATATGGAGGATTTAAGACCACAGAAACTGTTTTCAAGACTAATTATACTGTCATATTATTATCTCTGTATTACTATATTATTATTATTATTATCAATTATTATAATTTGGCATACTATTTCTGTATTATTATATTCTTATTACTATTTAGTATTAGTATTAATATTAATCTTTGACTTGTCCCATATCATGTATAATGATTCATGGATGAAATAAAATTGAATTGAAAAAAAAATATATTATTTCCTAATTTACATTTATTTGAGTTAACGCTCACCGCTTCTTTACATCTTACTGTTGACATTTGTTGTTTCTTAGAGCCCTCCCCACCTACAACACCTTCAAATGTCCTCATTGTCTGTTCACCCTCACTCAGGTTTTCACTTTCCTTATCTTCTTCCTTTCCCCCTCCTTTGTCTTCCTGTTGTGACTTCTTAATTTCCATATTTATTTTGTCCGCTTTATCCCCATACTCTACAAGCAGTCCCAACGTTCCAATATACTGTAATAACAAGTAACCTGTATCATATAACAGATCCCATCTTACCTCTCAATTATCTGTCGCCATCATCTAGGGCTACATTCTTCACTTAAAGGAGCAGGTAATATCAGTCTGCACCCGGGGCGTTCTCTTCAGTTGAAGCATCGCCTCACTCCACATTCTGGCACAGCTCGGGTAAATTAATTGGTGCTTCGTATCAGTATGTATCCAAGGGCGATTCTATGTTTCAAGATACCTCACATATCTAAGTATTTTTAATGCTTATTAACCTTCACATTCCCAAAAGTCTCCAACCTCCCACACTTTACACAATATCCCCACATTCAAAACTGCATGATATATATATATATATATATATATATATATAAACAAACTTTGATATTCCTCACAACTATCGTACTTCTATAACGTAGACAATCATTCCTATCTATCAAATTTCACAACGTCCTATGATTTACCAACTTACGGAAAATAATTACCCTCAAACAAAACAAAGTACCTTGCTCCTCCTTCTTTTTCCTCCCGGCATTCTGAGCCTGAGCCACTTTTCTGGGTGTGGCTCATTTGCATCGACTTCTAATAGGTTAAGTTGGGCGAATTTAAATCTCCACTTTCACGGGCAACTTACACCACCGTCACACGCAGTTTTTGCGGCTGTCAAGAGATGAACACGCGCAGTCTTTCTGTGTTTTCGACAGTATATCTTATATGTAAGATTTGAGGTTTATAACTTATAGTTTACCTTGTGTGGCTTTCATCATGGAAAAGCGTAATGTACGGGTTACCAACATACTGACGTGCCAGCATAAACCTACCCTAACTGACACGTATGTCTGTAATATTAATCCAAAAGGGAAGCACAATAGATCATTGAAGGTCGCAGTGCGAGGGCCAATTTTATGGCTCACCCCTCATACCATTACTCATATGTACGTCTGTAATATTATGCGCGAAAACGTGGATTCTGTTCAAGGACACTGGCAGGGCAGCGCCATAGCTCAAACGGTTAGTCGCTAGGATCGCGGGCGATATCGGGTTGGTGATTTGGTACTCACTCACTCACGGGCTGACGGAGCTGAGCCCTTCTTGAGGAGCTGCCAATTCTGCAGCTACTCAAGAATTTCCCAGCACACCCGAAGGTGTGTTCACAAGAGCCCTCCACTGGTCCCTATCCTGAGCCAGATCTATCCAATCCATACCATCCCTTCCTATCTCTCTAAGATCCATTCTAATATTGTCCACCCACGTACGCCTTGGTCTTCCCTGTGGTCTCTTCTGGCTTTCCCACAAATATCCTATATGCATTCCTCGTCTCCCTCATTCGTGCTACATGACCTGTCCACCTCATCCTCCTTTACTTGATCATTCTAATTATATTTGGAGAAGAGTACAAGTTATGAAGCTCCTCATTATGCAGTTTTCTCCAAACCCCTGTGACTTCATCTCTCTTTGGTCCAAATATTCTCAACACCCTGTTCTCAAACACCCTCAGTCTATGTTCCTCCCTTAATGTCAGAGACCAAGTTTCACACCCATACAGAACCACTGGCTACCACACTACCCAGCATTATACCTTTGAAGATTGTGCCTGTAGTCACTGCTTTGAAAACTTCAAAGACAATATGTACACTTCATATTTCTATAGAACCACTGTGTTCAGTTAAGTCACAAGTACAAAATGTCATCAGAATGATTAACACAAAGGGTTCGGGAGCTGAATGAAGGATGAATTAACATGACATGATTACTAAGGCACATCTCATTTTGTTTTGACTTATGTCGAATGATCAAGGCAGCCAATTCCCAATATGAATACCTCAAATTTATGATTCCCTGTGTGCACACTGGCCAGTCTGGCCGTCATATCTCCCATAGGATACTGTAACAGATAAAAGAGATTGGGGTAGAAAACCAGTGATTAGCAATAACTGAAAACTCTGGGTAAAGACCAAATATGGAATTGAACTTGACAAAACAAGCCTTAGCGAACATTACACTTTAACCCCTTATTATCAGGGAAGCTACTGAAATTGTTAACTGTGAGGATGGAGGATATTCTATCTGTTGATAACACTGATTTATTTGAGGCACTATGCTACAAGCCGGAAGATCGTGGGTTCAAGTCCCGATGAGGTTGTTGGATTTTTTCAATTGACCTAATCCTTCCAGCTGCACTATAGCTCTGGGGTCAACTCAGCCTGTAACAGAAATGAATACCAGGAATATTCTTGAAATGGTCTTGGGGGTAAAGGGCGGCTGGCGCGTAGGGCTGACAACCTTGCCGCCATCTATGAGCTGATTGTCTAGAAAATGTGGGAACCTCAGCATCTCTCAATCCTATGACCCTCCATGGCCTGTTACAGGGATACACAGTATTTAATTTTTGTTTAAAATGTTTCTTTTAAATATAACTCAAGATTTTTCATAGATCCGTGTAATCACTAACATTTATGAATAACCTTGCTATATTTACTACAAAATTAGCTGTAATGTATGACTGACGTGTGCATTCTGTGATTACCCGCTCTCTGTTTGAACATCCACTTAGCCAAATTAAACCTGCTCAAGGACATATCACTGCATAAATATGAGCACACATACAAAACGATCGGCATGTATCATCATATTCACGTGACTGTTAGAAAAAAATAACACCAGGAATGTTTCAATTCAACATTGCAGTCATCATGGTAAGGAATAAGCATGATCTTCATGGACTAAATGCCAACTTCTCGTATTAAAAAAAAAGTGCATACTATGCCAGCTTCAAAATTTTCATCAATCTACCATCTAGTCTCAAAAGTCTTATGAATAAAGAGGCACAATTTAAAGTATCACTTAAAGATGCTTCATTACACACTCATTCTGTTTTGCTGATGAATTCTTATTATCTATAGATCACTCATAATTTTCTTTAAGCTTTGCAAAAATAGCACAAAAGGAGTATCTGGATGTGTATGTGTGGATCTATTTGAAGCATTTGAATACCTTATATGACCTCTCTATGTATCTTTCTGGGAAAGCTTCAGTCGTACTGTGGGTACATATTTTGTGTTTTTGTGATTTATTCAATGTCCTATGATCATTTTTGACTAACTCTGGATCCATGAAATGAATGAGTGAATGTATGTGTGTGTGTGTAAGCAACTTTATGAGATGATAATGATGAATGTTTTCCTGTGTTTATTAGTATAATCTGAACTAATAGCTGCACCCATCACAACGTTCACAACATATGCCACTTTATCCAGTCTTAAAGATTATTAGCTAAAGATCAGCACATTCTATTTATTTATTCACATACTTCACTGTAAACAGAATTAACAATCTTGATTGTCTCAGACACAACACTTGAGAGCGAAACATAAAATTTCCTGTGACAGGAAGCAGGTTTCTGAAGGTATAAGCAGATTTTGGTAAAAGTTGTCCCTCTGACCTGTTGATAGTTGTTGAAAAGGCTAAACATATAGGAAATTGTCTTCGTTTGAATTTGAAAAATATATCTGTATCAGGTAGAATGAGAAGCATTAGTAGTATGAGAACAGTATCCCCGTTCAATCACCGGTCACGGTAGCCGAGCGGTCTAAGGCATGCACTGTCTTTGCTCGCTTGGAAGCCGAGATCATGGGTTCGAATCCCACTCAGGGCATGGATGTTTAGTTTGTGTGTGTGCGTTTTTCTGTGTTTGTCTCCCTTGCGACGAGCTGATCACTCGCCCAAGGAGTCCTACCGAATGTGTAAGATCTAGTAAACCGAAGTGAAACGGAGAGTTTCATGGAGGTAGGCCTAGGCCCAAATTGGGGCTCTAGCGCCACAGAAAAAAAAATACATGTTCAATCAATCTGTTACACAGGCCTCTACAAGTAGGCTTTTAGGTGCAACAAAAGCACTGTGCTTCTTGCATCCTGTCTTTATTGATTCTAATAGATAATAAATTGTCTAATCCACATCTCATCACATTTTTCAATGCCCTGGAACCCTGCAAATTCTTAAATCACCTCTGTTTGTAATGGCATAAGATTCCATAATATCATGATTACAGCACCTACTTTCAGTTTCAGTTCATGAGGAGGCATTACTGTTGGAATTAGAAGCTACTATGAACCTCTTCAGGGTATGCCAGATTGCCATGTGATTCTTTGTTTGCTACAGTATCCACACTTCTGTAAACAGTCTCTTTTGCAGGCATGAAGTCTATTGTTTTTGTTCAGTTCTGAAGAATCCTCATTTGTAACAGCATTGCTCTGCCTTTCAGTTATGGTTGCACCTCTTCTTCCATCACTTCTAATAGCCAATCTGAAAATTCCTTCCCATATTCTGTTGTTTACATATTGCCTGTAAGTTTCAGTACATGAAATTAGGTTCATGGTTTATGTCCTTTTATGTAACTGACAATAGTTAGAAATCTTGAGCCTTTTATTATTGCCGGTAGGTCCCGCCTAATAGGATAACTTTCCTTCCAAGATACTTGTCTAATTCTATAAAATTGTGCCACAGCCTGTCTACTCCTCTGAAAGGCATGAATGCGCATCATTGGTGCTTTGTCCCACACTATCAGTTTTGACTGGAGAAATGTCTCAGCATCTCTGTTTGGCTTTAAGTTGCTTGTTGAAGCTGCATTCAATGGCAAACAGTTCTGCTTCCTGCTAACAGAGTTACTGCAGCACTTGTAGATACAACAGGAGTAACACTATCTCCCTTGCCTTGTATGGTGTGTAGTATGGTTTAGTAAAAATGTGACTTTCCAATTCCAGCTTGGCTACTAAGAAAAAGGCAATGCTGATTAGTGTCTGAGTTACTGTATATGGCCTCAAGAATAGTATGAAATCCCATATTTTGTTCGTTGTTTAATTTTTCTGCGTTTGCAATTGCTTCAGCTTGTTCTTCCATAAGTCAAATAATCTTTCATACTATTGCTAGTGTGATGGAGCAGGATGAACCAAATCAAACCTCCTGCTATGAATATCCAAATATTACACTGCTATTAATATAAGGTGGCCACATATTCAACATCCATATGTGTTTTCATGGAATATTAACATGATATTTTCCAGATCAAGTAATATTCTTTAAAATAATCCCTCCCCCCCCCATTTCAAATAGCAATGACTTGAAAAACCCTGCTTCCAAAATTATTTTAAATGTTTATAGGTGCTGCATACTTTACTTGCACTAGTGGCTGCAAGCAACAGTCAGAGTTTAAGTGGAAAGGAGATCACTACTGAGAGCAACACAACACAACAGTTTTCAACTGACAACAGCCTGCTGCTGCAATCTTTAGTAACCACTAATCCATCACTACAGTATTCAACAACTAATAATCCAACACATTTTTCAGCTAATAACCTGTTACTACAATCTTCAACAACCACTAATCCATCACTACAGTCTTCATATGGGACAGCAATCAGAAATAAAACAGATAATTTGAAGTCTTCAGAACATGATGATCTACAAACATCAAGTCAATTGCAAATATATGCAGTATGGGGCTATGGCTGGCCATGGTGGGGTGGGGCATATGGCATACCTAGATGGGGGTATGGTAGACGTGGATGGGGGTATGGTAGACGAGTATGGGGGTATGGTAGACATAGATGGTGATGTGGTAGACCAAGACATTAGTGGTGATAGTAAGGAAGTTTTATATTACTTCCAGTGTTTCAAATTATAAATGTCTTCATCCTGATTTGTCTTCCCCTGACTTCCAGTGTTTTTGACATCTGTCAATAAATAGGATATATCTATACATGCAATTCAAAATAGGCCTTCCATACTTACTCATTACACCACATAAACTGGGAGAGCTACGACACTGTAATACTTATTTTCTTGCATGATTTCAAATATAAGATAATTGTGCATATTTCAATAATTTGTTTTATTCCAAATGTTAGGAAGTGAGTGTGAAAATTAGTTTAGAATATTTTACAATTCCATTGCCATGGTTTTTTTCTGTTTGAAGTTTTGAATGTGATAAAACTAATAATATTATAATTGGGATGATAAATCCAGTATTCCCATATTGTTATAATGAAATTAAAGTTTTATTATATTTATCTTTGGTATTATTGGATTAGTTGATCATGTTCGTTTTAAGACAACAGATTAGTTTTAAATTTTTGAACATGAAGGTTAAAGGATAAACATCAAATATATGAGGAATAAAAATTAAAATTTTAATTAGGCTTAATATTTGTTCATCTAACTCTGTTCTGTTGATATGTCAAGAGAATCTTGATTTTGAATTTTAACCATTTCCAGGTTTTCTTAATACTCCACAAGTAAGTTGTATAGGTTTGCATAACTGACACCATATTCTGCAAGAAATTGCATGCTCTTGCTGTTGAATTTAATTTTCAAAATATTGTACTGATATGTCTAGAGTTATATTACATTTACTTGAGCTNATACAAAAACTGGGGGGGGGGGGAAGCTATAATGTTAAACCATATAAAGGGTTAAATCTGAAGAGTGAAATGCCAAATGCCAAAATTCAAAAAATGAAAATATTTGACTTAGCTGCATATACTTCCAGCTGTATTCTTACAACAGATTAACTCAGCAATGAAAGATTTTGATTAAATTTGATCAATTAATTTAATTAATTAATAGTAAAATTTGGAAAAAATTATTCATCCAGCCACTAAGTCAGGAATGCTGCTTTTAGAATGAGCAGATACTTATAGCACAAAGGATGGACCTGAGCAGTTGTTTGCTGTAGAGATAAAAAGAAATAATGTTAAATAAGAAGTTCAGTTATTATGAAACTATGGAGAATTGGAACGAAAGAATAAACAAATTTATTAGAGAATAGGAAACCAATTGAATCTTTTGCCATGTCTAATGCAGCTGAACATAATGCTGCACTTAACATAATAAAAAGCAGTGTTTGATGTGCATTTAAATTAACAAGTCTAAAATTGTTGGGTGTAAAAGACTCACCACTGAGGGCATGGGCAATGGAAATATTTCCTGTCTGATAACAGATTTAAGGTGGAAACAAAAAATTATAAATTCAGAAAATATTTTATTTAGTTTATTAATGTAGCAAAGAGAAACTATGCACACAAATATGCACTTGTTTTGGCATTATTGTAGGACAGAAAATGTATGATTTAAGATACAGGCCTTTGTATGTAATCATATACTTATGAATTAGTACAATTACAGTAAATTCTTGCTAATCTGGTTACAGTTAATCCAGATCAAAATATGAAAAATGCTGTTCACAGTTGAGTACATACTTCAAAAGACACATGGCATTTGGGAAGGCAGAGGAGTCGCTTGTCTGTTCTGATAGAACTTGACAGTTTCTTCAAATCTGCATTATTATAGTCAAAAACAAGGACAACTTCTGAGCCTTCTGTCGATGAATAAATGTCCTATTTTTTATGACTTTTAAATAAAGGCTCTACAGTGATATTTTTTATTTATTTTCATCAGTATTACTTATATCATTAAATTTTCCATTTAATTGTGTTCTGATTTTTTGTCCTTTAGGCCTAACTTTTGCTTCATTAATCTGGATTATTGCTTAATCTAGATGACCTCTTCACCCCCACCGCCCCAGTCACTCCAGATTAGTGAGGTTTTATTGTATATAATTATGATAGCTCAGTCAGCACAGTGACTAGACTGCAGACTGAACAACAAAGGAACTGGTATTCAATTTCTGGCAGAAGCAAGAAATTGTTCTCTTCTCCACAGTACTCAAACTGACTCTAGGATCCACCCAATCTCCAATTCAGTGGGCTGAGGCACAAAGCTGACCAGTCACCTCAGTCCATTGCCAAGGTTAAGGATGCATGGAACCATGCCTCCACTCCTCCATACATTTTCATAGTGTGTGTTCAATTAAACATAGGGACTTTAGCCTTACTTACTTTAAATCATGTATAAACTTGTATTTTGAGTAAGTCTTTAATATTTCACCTCCCCTTGAAACATCAGGCAAAGTTCAGTTTTGAAATGTTCTGATGTTTAAATTATAATTTATACTTATTTCCGCTGGTGTACAAATTAGTTGTCAAAACAGGTGTATGGCTGCATTGAGATATATTAAAGGGCTTCTGGAATATTACTACCTCATTACAGTACAGTTTCAGACAAAATATTACTAATACATCTGAATAGCAAAGTTGTCAATCCTGTATGCAAGGAATGCAGTAGTCTTTTAAAGTCTAACAGTATGCTTCAGACAAATATTTTATACGACATATTGAAAACTCAGCTTTAAATGCTGTGATCAGATAACAAAAGAATGCATTCTCTAATTTGTTTTCGTACCTTACAAATTATGATAAATAATTTGTTTATTGAATACTTAGACAAAAAATATATGTATTACATATCCACACTGGGTTCTATTAACCTTTAAACGCCGGACTTCGAAATAGTGGTAAGCTTGAGCTGGCCGGAGTTTATTTAAATGCCCGCTGCTGGTGCTCGTTTAAATGCCCGTTCCTGTTAGGCGCTTAATCAATTTTAAGCGTTGTGTTTAAAAGTGCTCTATCCAGCTCAATTTTTATGATAAATGGATGGAAATAACTTTATTTATATAAGAAAAGAACATAATGTCACATATTATAACGGAAGATTTGAAATTTTTAATACAAAGTGTTATACTCTATTTTCAATTTTTTGTGTTTTAATTTTGATGCGTACTGCAAAAATGGTTTCCCAGTTCTTCACAGAGTTATTCTGCATTATAAATTAATTTCTGTTTGTAACACCTGACAAATTTTAGCAGTCTCTGGTGTCATAAAACAGATGGAAGCAATAAAATCATTTGATCTTCTGCTAGCGCTGCTTACACCCTTCGGATTTTCGAATACTTGACCGAAGGTCAGAAGAATGAAAGAATGGCTATTCAAGAGAAAGCTATAGGGGTCCCCTCTTCAGTGCTAAAACCTTCCGTTAGGGCTGCAAAAGCTTATTGCCCCTTCTATTTGAATGAACAGACAGCTGCATTGTGGCTGAGATACAGAGCGTGATCTGGTTTGTGTGCGTTCGTAGTGAAATCAAATACTGTACTTTCATTTGAACCTATATATGCATCAAGAAGGTAACAACAAAAAAGGTATGNTTAACTTGCCCATAGTGAGGTGACAAGTGTATTTCCAAAAACCAAAACACATGCTGACTTTTCAGTACACTCTCTTGGTCACACAATAAACTTTTTCAAATACACATATCAAATAATGTTAAACAAATGCATTAATATGGAACTGATTAATTACATACATAAGTATAATCACAAATCCACTAACAATGCTCCTGTTGCATTTTCCCACCTTCTCCACCATGAGTTTCAGTACATAATTTTAGGTTCTTCCATCATTCACAAAGGTTATGCATAATTTGTCTAAATATTTCTGAGGTTACATCATACCTCAAAAAGGCAATCTTATGCAAGAAAAGCCCTCCATGTTTAATGAGGATCTCCAATATGGCAATTTTGGTTTTCATCATAAATTGAAAATATAGTGTAGTAACTCTCTAAAGATGACATATTGATTAGATCACTACCTGATGATTCATTCATTCATTCATTTCCTTTATTTTCCATATATCCATACAGGATGATGATGATGCACCATAAAAAATGTTTAAGACTGTCAGAATCAGATATATCCATGGATAAATCAGGTGACCATCATGACTCTTATGGGACTGAACCTGGGCTTCCACAGTGAGATGCTGGTGTCTAACGTCCAGGATTATGGCTCTGTTTAACTAGGCACACATAAAAATACTTTCTGACTGTTGTGAACAGGAACTACATTTAGAGATAATTAGCAGGTAAACATGGAAGAAATTCTGCAAACATTTGTTATAGTGATTGTTGTACAAACAGTCCTACAAGAGAAAAACATACTAGTTTTTAGTAAACTAACTCCACGGTTCAGCCTTCAGTGAATGGTTGACAGTCATTTAGTTGATCAAGAAATGTCATGTTTGCAAGGAATCCAAACATTCATCTCTGTAAAAGCTTACTATTGAATACTAATCTGAGCCAACTGAATTCAGTTCACACCCTCATACACTAGGTCTCCCAAGTGGCCCATTTCCTTGGGTTTTTGTAAAACATTTTGCATTATTTCCTTGTTTCTCATGAATGCCAATGTTCTGTTGCTTTGGATATGGCAAAAATTTTTCCCATTTTTAGGCATTCTGTAACACTGTCTTTTATAGTGAATGGATTTTTATCCCTTTTTCTCTGATTTAAAAACATGAACCAAGCATAAATCGTTCTGTTTACTGTACCCTGAAACTGGCTCTGAAAATGAAGCCAACTTCTTCTGTTCCTACTCCATTAAGTCATTGCTTATTGACTGTCCTTCCTACTTCTGTTTAAGTATCTCCTTTGGTAATTTATCTGTTCAAGGTCTAATTTTGTGCAAAGTACACACACACACACACAGCTATATGCTCAGGAACATATCCAGTGGGTACTTACTGCCCAGTGTTAGTAAGACACTAAGTTACAAGCCACAGTTTCAACCTGATACCACAATGATCTTGGTAAGTTAACCTACATTTTCTCCGTTTGAACATTCTAATTTTGAGACTAAAGGTGACCAAGAACAGAGTATTGAAGGTATTATTTGGATTTAAAAGAAATGAACAGGGTACTGGAGAAAATTACTTAATGATGAGCTTGATAATTTGTGCTCAGAAGTGTTCTCAAAATGTGTTCAGACTACTCGTGCTTGGGCGCAGTAACAGTTGGTGACAAGGGACCTACCAACTAAATAATTTATGAATATTTGAAAAAGTCCCCACAATATTGAATACCTGTAGTATTGCAAAAAACAATTTCACACACTGCCTTACTAAAGAAATCCAAAGTATTCCATTAATTTTGTGATACAGTCTTCCAGCTTGTAGGTTGGGCATGGGGCTAACACCTCTTCACCGTAACGAATGAGCTTGTTACGTAATGTCATAAAGGGCCTCAAACTTGCCTGGCTTCTTTGGATCATCGGGGTAGGGACCAGAGGAGCACTCTTGTGAACATGGTAATGAACCTTCATGTTCCATAAAATGTTGGGAAATTCTTGAGCAGCTGCACATCTAGCAGAATCTCAAAGGCTCAGCTCCATGTAGTTACGTGTAGTTAGGTCACATTAGGTAATTTCAGTTATGTTGGTTTGTTTAAAGTTACCTTGTTTTAGATTATGCTTTCATTTGCTCTGCGTTTGTTTTGACATCAAATTCATTGGCAGCATTAGTACTGGAGCTGCCTTTAAGAAGTGTTAAGACTGGCATTAGTGTGAGTAATGGAATCAGTATTGTTGCTGATTCTAGATTGCATCATTGTTGTCAAGGTCTGTCAGTCATTGAAGCCCTATACATTTGTACCTGGTTCAGGATTAGTTCAGTGAATTTGGTTTGCTTAGTTTAAGTAAAATTTGGTTGGGTTGAACTGGGTTTGGATTGGCTTCTAGTCTAGTTATGGTTGTACTATGTTAGATTCATCTGTGCCTACTTTATGTTGTATTGTATCATGACATGCAGAAAGAATGTGAATATGGCATACACTCATACATTTTCCCCACTGAGTTACTTCTGAGGTTAGCAACATATATGGTAAGGCCAAACATAAAATGAATTAGAAAAATGATGGACATGCATGGAGCCTTTACTCCCTAACAGAGACATATCCATAATTACTTGACAGCAGCTTTTCCTTTCTCATACCTGTACGTGGTGCAGAACATGTCACGAAAAACATTGATCTTGAGATTTTAATCCATATTTTGTATACTCCCAATCTGAGAACTAGTATGGCTGCTACTACTACTATTACTAGAACATCTGTCACTGCTAAAATTAGACGTGTACATCAGCTAGTCCAGGTGCCGCACATTTCTTCCACACTGATACTCCTAAAATTTATTCTTATTCTTTCTCTCATACTCCTCCACTCTTTCATTTAATGATTCTGTCACATTTAAATTCATGTTTTGCAATTTTATTATTCTTAAAAAATATTTCAAACTTGTTTACAGATGCCATATATTTTACTGGTGCTGATGACAGTACCTTGTCTTGCAAAGAGTTCTGAGAATTCAAACGAAAAGGAGACTTCCAAAGAGAGAAGCACTTCACCAACCAATAATCCATCACTGCAATCTTCATCAGAGCCAGCAGTAGCCATTACAACAGAGAGCATGCAGTCTTCAAAAGAAGATGACCTTCAAACAGCAAATCAAATTGGACTAGGATTTGGCAGCCCTTGGTATCAGGGATTTGGAGGACATCGGGGGTACCTGGGGGGTCGGGGACTTGGGGGATCTTGGGGAGGCCTGGGATCTGGAGGACCTTGGGGAGGCCTGGGATTTGGAAGACCATGGGGAGGCCTGGGATTTGGAGGATATGGAAGGGGTCAGGGATTTGGAGGATATGGAAGGGGTCAGGGATTTGGTGGACTTTGGAGGGGATAGGGATTAGGAATTGATAACATTACTGAGCTAGTTTAGGATGATGGTGTTGACTTTAAGTACAATAAATACAACTGATATTATTATTCTTGAACTAGGTATTTTTTTAAGAAATCCCAGAAGACTGCTTTCTTCATAGTCACCGCCATGAAAGTCTCAAATCTTACATAGGTATTTTTTGCATCAAATTCAGAATTTGAACATAAAAGGCTTGCAGTAGAGTACATCAAATACTTATGGGATGGATTCAAAGTAATCTTTTCCTAGAAGCACCTTTAGTCACTGGTTCAATAAGTATAGCAACAGGCTAGAAGCTGAATGCCTGAGGTTCGATTTCTGGCAGGGGAAAGAGATTTTACTCTCCTCCACAACATCCAGACCACCTCTGGGGCCAACCCAGCCTCCTATCCAATCTGTACTGGGGTCTCCTTCCCTGGGGGTAAAGAAGCCGGGGAGTGAAGCTGGCCACTAACCTTCATCTAGTGCTGAGGTCAAGAATGGTGGAGCTATACCTACATTTGTCTTCACGGCATGGTGCTTTATTAATTAAGCACAGGGAATTTATGATTTTACTTCTAGTGACTGCAGTCATCAACCTGTAGTACCTGTACACAAAGGAGATTTCAAAATCATGCTGATTCTGGTAGCTATTAGTATTACCATTCTGAATAAAAAATAATAATTAAAAGTCTGCTAGAAACTGAATTAAAGATAGAATATTAAAAAAAAATTTAATAAAGGTATGGTAAAGTTATCCCTGGGTACTAGATACAGGAGAGTGGTTAGTCCTTTAGGGAGGCCGCACCATAGCTCAAGTGGTTAGTCGCTGGCTTCCCATCGCAGCGGCCCAGGTTCGATCCCGGGTCTGGTCAAGTGGATTTGTGGTGGACAAAGTGCCGCTGGGGCAGTTTTTCTCTGAGTACTTCGGTTTCTCCTGCCAATCTTCATTCCACCAATTGCTCCACAGTTACCCTCACCTATCATCTGGGGCTGGTACAATAGGCCAGAAGTGGCTGCAGTATAAGGGACTTAGTCCCACCCCACTAGCAATAAAAAAAATAGTCCTCTAGGGAAACAGCCCCTGGTACCCATTGTAGAGAAGAAACATCTCCTGCCCCTACTGAGAATCCAACTCTGATTCCTCAGCTGTACACACCATAGCCTAGTTGCTATAATGACTAAGCTTTCCATACATATACAAATCTGTTTCAACAATTTCTGTACGTTACCTACTAACCAGACCAGTTCTTGATAACTGAAATTTGATTGTAATATTTCTTTATTGTACCAACTGAAGACAGTGTCTTGCATAAAAAGACATTTTGAAGCTGTGTTTTGTGCTTATGGGACCTGAGATTTTCCTGTTTTATGAACAAACTATGTGATGTGGTCTTGATGGTTTGTGACAGCAGTTTGGTATTATCAAGAATTAAAGAGATAAAAATTATAATTTTGAAAGTGCCTTTATCTGTGTCCTTTCCGTAACCTGATGATGAAAACAGACCCTGCCTCTGAACACCATTTTTATACGCATTCTCTGCACAAAATACATAAAGTAAATGCATAAATTAGACAGAATTTCTGTACATCAGGATTTTTCAACTCCATAGTTGTAGTGTACATGTTTCTAGATATTCTGAACTTAAAGTCAGAATACAGAAGACTAATTAGGAGATCAAGATACAGATAATACTATACTGAACATGAAGATCATGGTATTCTGGCATGTGATGCTATGCAGTTTGACAGGTGCTGGTACCTACATTTTTATGGACCCTGCTGCATCTATTTCAAGACTGAATATTCCTCTCGAACCCTGGTGCCTATCTACAAAACAATATGGTATCAGATCCCAAAAGACTATAACTTTTATGTTAATTTCTGCAAGAATATCAGACTTTGTACAGTATTAAGCATATTCTGGGGATATAAACTGCACTGAACTGATTCAGAATTAGGTCAACAAATCTTCAGGTTCCCTAACAACTGAAAAAGTTTAGTGGCTTTTGCCAGAAAGTTTGAGGCATGCATTATTTTTTAGCGAAAATGATAGGACAAAGGAACTGAGTAATCCTCATAGCTGACATTGGTTACTAAAATGAAACACAATAAAAAGTGAATTTATATATAATTCTATATCACAGAGCAGTAAATATGTAAAACTGAGACTACATATTACCAACATATATACTTACACAATATACAAGTATTTCAAATGCATGTGGAATGTTTCCACACAAGGAATGTACAGAACAACAATTGTGTATGGATGATTTATAGAGTGTAATGGCTCTGGAAGCACAGAATATTATTTACAAATATAATAAGCATATAATTTTTATAAAAGAATTATTATAATTATTTTACTATTGCTGTACATGTTCACAATAGAATATAATAAAAATCTTTAAAATCATAAGCATACACAACAGTAGGAATCTGCACTGATAACATACAATGGGAATTAACAGTGTTCACTTCAATAACTTGGAAGGCTGTACTGATCTGGCAGTAACTCAGGTAAGTCTACTGTGGGATTCTTTTATTATATGGGGGGGGACAAAAAAAGAACTGTATTACAATTCTGACAAAGAAGCACTGAAACATATTACTTCTCCATGTAGAACATAGCAAAAATGGGCAAACTACAGCTTGAAGGACAGATGAAGCCTGCAAGACAACACTGACTGGCCCACAAAGGAATACTACTACATTCCATAAAATTTTAGGTCACTGTTAACATTTCTCTCTGAAGTACTGACACGTTCTCCTTAAAACAAAAAGTCCATTATTAAAAATAAATTAATAACATTCTTGAAATACAATCATTTAATGATTGATATATAAAATGTTTCAATATTGAACGTATAACACAGTGCAGAGCATGCCATTCCCTCACTTTTAACAAACCTTGGCCCCTGACTTGCAACAGACATACAAGAACTGCCACCTTCTTTCGCAGAGGGAAAAAACAACCCCCCTACCCCACAAAAAAAAAAAACATGGCTAATATCAGTGGATACTGTTCCAATCTTCCAACAGTGTTTGTTAAATGAAAAGTCTAGACCATAACAGGAGAAGGATAGTTTCTGCACATTCTTACTGTCCATTTCTATCCATTATGTAAGTAGGGGCAGTGAACGTTTAACAGTATAAACAGTACTTCGTTATAACCCGGACAGTATTTGTGCAATCCCTTATGTTTACTCAAGAACATATCTTGGCAAACATGAAATAAAAGTGGTAATGGTACTACAGAAAAAGGGGAAAGAAAGAGAGGGAGCTCTGCTTCTTATTCAGAAAAATTAAGTATTTTTTACAGTGGTTTTAATTAATTACAGGTCTATTCTGCTGAAAATCAAATCAGATTAACAATAGAAACATGAAAACATCCATAAACACTAGGCAATGTTTTTTTCATCTCAGGTTCATTACTGCATATAAAGACTGATTAGTGGCACCAACACAAAAATTCATAATTCATTGTGGAACATCAATATATAATCAATGAACTGCATAATCATATTTGTGATGGCTCGTAATTCCAACTCAACAGCACTTTCAATAATTTAAAATGGCTTACTATCCAAACAATATGTCATTTAAAGAAGGAAATATGGATTTAAATAGGTCTTGTGCAAGCATCCACAAGCAGTACTACAGACTACAGGCTCAAGACAATTTCTGTATATCCGAATGATTGGTCCTTTGAAATATCGTTCTTTCACCTTCTTCTAGTAAAGTGAATTATAAAACATAAATGCTTTTCTTCTGCTGATTAAAATTAAATGACATGTCCGAAAACTTACACTGCATTTGCCCAATAAGACTGACTACATACTGTGTTAATGTAGCTTCAGTTCTGTTAGGTACTTCAATATATAATGTGGAACATGTCTTTGGATAGAAAAAAGCGCACTTTATATGTGGGCAAATACCATATATTCTGTGCCTAGAGAGGTCTATTGAAGGGCACACATTTAATGGGTCAGTGAGTATCATTTCAGCCAATTTCAAATAAAATGGTAATAAAATGACTAAATACCATACCTGAAATATATATAGGAACTCTCACACATCCTGATGTCATGCAGAATGTTTACTAAATACAATGGAAGAGGACCCATTAGGAAAACATTACCATAATGGACCTAATTTCTAGCAGGAAGAAAATTCTTTACCAAATAAAAGTAACATATTTCTAAACAACTAATTCTTTTAGAAATTTTCTTTTGCTATATATACATTTCAATACCTCCAATGTGACTAGAACAGAAAACAATGTACAGACACGCAGACTGTATCAGACTTCCTGGAGATAAAAATACAAAAGTCTGCATCCAGATGCACAAATATGCTTATGTGTTTTTCAAACTTCTGCTTCAAAATTTGTACAATATATAAGACCAAATTTATGACCTTAGGAAAACCTATGTTGTGAATCACATATATGTTAAAACAGTAAAACAGGCTAAATTGGGACAGTTTGAAGAATATTAAGATCCCCCTGTGTTATAAATAAAACAATCTCCATATATGAAAGCATTGTCTGGATTACAGTTAGATACTAAACAAATATCAATAGATTTTTTAACTTCAATATAAGGCAGTAAAATATCTCTAACTCCCATAATTCCTTATTACAGTCTGTGTATTTATGAATACTTAGTTGTCTGCTGCCAGCTAAAATTACACTGTTTTCAAATGATGAGACTTCACTCAGCAATGTGTATTTCTGTCCTATACTTTGAAAATAAATCACTAATTTAGGAGTGTCACTCAACCCAAAGGCCAGATGAATGACAGAATCTGAGAGGAAAAAATTTTTTCAAAATGATACAACAACTTTGGTTACGCATATCTGCCAGTTTGTGCTACCTCAGATTTTCATGGCAGTGAGTATCAAGCTTACAGTTTTCTGGGATTCAATGTCATGTAGTTGGGTATAAGAGTGCCCAGAATTTGGGAAAACCAAACTACAAACTTCCATGACATTATTTCTCAGAAGACTATAAATCTTAATCTGCTATTATGTTTCCATAAAAATGACCCTGAAGATGGAGGCAGTGAGTTTCTTCAGAATGTTGGTACCTATTTACCAAACTACGTAGTGGCACATTGCAGAATATAGTTATTTTTACAAGTGATTTACTTTCTTCTGCTTAGTGAATAAAAATAAGGACAAAGTTTGAAAACAGAATCCTACATAAAATGAAGTCTGAATAAAAAAATATAGTCATGTAATTTCATGAAAAATCCATTAAAATGGTTATAGTTCCAATAACAGAACCTGAAAACAATAGGTCAAAACATAAACATTAATAGAAGCTATTCAAGGTCTGGCAAAGTTGTATACAAACAGAGGCAAAATACTCTGAAATATTAAAACAATTTCTTTAAGTTAATAATAAAATGGAAAGACTTTCTGGCAGACCTACAGCGTTCATTTAATCCAAGATGTCACCAGTCCCAATCACGACTGTTCTACGATTTAAAAATTGCATACATATCTACGACACAAAATAAAGGAATCTAAACAAATTTAAATATATTTGCCTATTCACCATGCACTTAAAAACATTTTCAATTACAGGTCACTGTTAAAGAAATAAGATATAATTTGTGCTGCATAAATGGTGCATCTGTACAATAAAAGAAAATAAAATGGAAACAATGTAAAAATACTTAATGTGCTTTACTGTGGATGTGATGTGAAATCTGATGGCTTATTCTGATAATCAGCACCATTTCACTCTGGCATACTGAAATCTGTTACATAAAAGTTTCAGTGCCCATTAAATAAATATATAATATTTACAACATCATGGAAACTATTAAACACTTCAGCAACTTACATCAAAGAATCTGCTACCTTGAATACAAGTTCAGAAACACAAAAGATGAACATTTGATTACTAAAACAAAAATCACTCCCAAAATTATGAAAACACAAAAATAAATGCATATTCTCATTCACTCATAATGCCTAAAATGTTGTTATAAATTTTCATAGTGCACACCATTTAAAGAGTTTCTGCATATTTATTCTTACCAAATGGTTCACATTTGAAAGAATACATATAAAAAATACACAATTTTTACACTTTTTGTGCACTAAATTTAAACTGCCAACACCCTTCTAGTTCTTGATTTTTACGATTTTCTCGTTATCTTCATCTGGATGGTTTGTGTGTTTATATTAGTCTCCAACACCTTCATAAGAATTGAACAAATATAGGAACATAAACAGTTTTAGTATCACATGAAATATTTCATTAAATTTCACGTGTGTGCCAGCGAACCCCTACTCTCAGGACTAACACAGTTGTCACGTCAAATAAGATATATTTCACTTATATATTGGGTTTTTGGACTTTATCCATCGTCCTGGTTTTTAATATAATTAATAAAAACAGTGATTGAGGCTAGCTCTTTCTAACGGACCCAACAGAATAGGTGTTTTCCTTCACCTGAGGACGGAAACAGATCCAGTTTCCGAAACGTCGTGTTTTTATTAATTATCTTAAAAACCAGGATGATGGATAAAGTCCAAAAACCCAATATATCAGTGTGTTATACACCATCGTCAGAATCCTATAGTAACTACAAGATATATTTCGGTTGCTTGGGGGAGCAGACTTAACAGGCCAAATGGAATTGGGTTGATTATGCGCAATGAACGGGAGAGAAAGCACTCATGGTTGATTTCAATGCCTGAATCTGACAACTCCTAGTTAGACTGGGCAATACCATGAACAATCCAGATAGCATACAGCTGAACTCTGAACTAGTGCCTCATGAACTCAGATCAGGCATACTAGCAACGAGTCAACATGTGAGGCCAATAAGATAATTATGGCTACAGTTAATCTCTGCACTGTAAAAACACAACGTTAAGTCAAGCGCAAAATTTGGCAGCCCTGCTTCAATACAATAAGTTAAAGATACTAAAATTTGTGATTTACATCAGACACACAGATGAGTGAGTTGTGATTCCCTGAAGTACATGTTTAGTTGATACTGAAAACCACAGCGAATAGCAATAAAATATCAATACTGCAGCTGCTCAGCTAATTGGTTTATTATGTTTGCTTAGCACAGTGCTTCAAAATACCGCCATTGCAATCCATGTAACTGTTCAAAATTGACTGATATTCTTTATCTTGCAAACTTCTAAACGTGAAACATCATTCTAACATTCATCACATATATTATGACAAATATCAGTCCAATATTCCTTATGAACTGTTACTCCTCGCAAATTCTTGTGTCTTGAAACCACTGCAAGGGACCAAATAAGTTCACGAATCCGTTTCATTACATAATGTAAGCAAGAAACTTACAGCAAATTATGCTTCATGGTCTCCTGAGTTGATTCCAATCAATGACTCTGTTTGTTCATCTTCACAGTCAGAGATTCTGTGGAGGAAAAGAAATCAACAATATTGTAATCAAAATTTGTATGTTCCCATGAAATCCCACACCCACAGAACTTCACAGTTACTTCAAAAACTCATTTTTGTGAATTCAGTAAATTTCATATAAATCTGTGTTTTACTGTTTTACAAGACTGACGCATTAAAAGAACTTGATATGTTTCATATTTTGTATCAATGCTGATAGATACTGAATTAAAAAACTTTTTCATTCTTTCCCCATCTACAGGCCTATGCATTTCACAGCACAGACACCACCATATTAGGAAGGTCACTCCGAAATGCTCATTTATAACAATGGCTTAGAACAACTGCATCAAACATGACAATAAAAGGCAATAAGCAAATTAATCTGAGCTACAAATATGCATGGATTACAGATCAATCTTTAAACAAATTTTTGGACAAAACTGTTATTAATATTTTCCTTCAAGTAATTATTTCTGAATCAGGAAATAATGAGAACTTATTAGAGATAATGCAGTCTTGGGTTTGAGACAGGTCAGGCCAAGTGCAGATATTTCTGGATATTTTTGTATCGCCTTTCACACAGCTATTAATATATGAATGTGGAGAACAGCAAGCCTCTTTCATGGTTTGGAGCCACATAAGCCACAGGTCATCGCTGCCAACTAACATCATTACCCTAACATCAAGGGTAGCAAAGTCTACCTCAAAAGTGGCTCCATCTCAGAATTGGACTCTTCATTACCTGCTTTGACAAGCAGACAGTCCGGAATGATGTAACCAATAACTGAAAATAATAGGCACTCCAACAGAAGGGAATTAATCTAAAAGCTCTCCTTCAAGAGGAGTGACTTTTAAACTGCATCAGAAAATCCTGAAAATGCATACAAAGTGCCTAACTGGTAATGGTAGGCCAGCAACTGCAACATGTGGTCTATGAAATGCATACTATTAACACATTTGATGGTACAGAATACAGTTTTTTAAACATTCAAAGATATCTGATCATTCAACTTAATGGGCAAAGAGGAAGTTACCTGACTGGTCGATTTCTTCTAAAAACAAAGATGTAACACCTCCGAATACCTTCCATCACAGGGTCCCAGTTCTCATAATGTGCAAGCAATGTTACCGCAAAGAATGCAAGAAACATTGGTATAGAACCAATGTAAAACATGGATGGATAATTCACCCTTTTAAACATCACATCGGCAAACATGGACATTGGTATTGTGAGACTGATGGCAACTGTAGCTATCAGTGATGATGTCAAGAAGCAGCCCCTATTGACAAAACAACCTTGTTACACCCTTCCTGATAAGTTTTCTTGCATACTGTACTTATTTTAAGTATTTTGCACAAAAACACACAACAAAGCCTTCATTGTATGTCATGAGGACAATATTTTCAGATTTTGTTACTTTTTCTGTATATCATATGAAAATATGATGGTTAAACTTTGACATTTGTTCATAAGTCATTCTTTTATATACCTTTGTATGTTCACAGGCAAGTTTTCAACTGTCATAGATCAGTACATACAGCTACTGGCTATAAACTGCATAGTCAGGGTTCAATTCCTGGCAGGTGCACTAGAACACTCAAAATGGTGGTAATGTCCATTCAATCAAAGGATGTTAGGAAGATGAGGCAATATAATCACAGTTTAACAAAACCACAAATGGGAAATATCATGAGACATATTCCTTTGTGTAAGTAAATACTGGTTTTCAATTAGTGAACATAATACTGAAGTATATGAACTATAATCCTTGTCAAGAGGTAGCCATACCTTTATGACAGACAATAGAATAACCAATAACACTATTATAAACGGATAAGAGTCTATATTGATATACCAGAGCCAAAGTACTTCTGAGAGTACAGTTCCAACCAAGCCATTGAGTAATAGAAATGTCCACTGATGCCGCGTAGGCCATTCAAACAGTTCCCACTTACTGTAGTGGAAAAGGAAGAATAATGGCCACAACAGCAGTAAGTTGAACAACCCAACAAATCCTGAAAACAAGAGAACATCATCTTTGTGCATAGTAAAAGCTGTGTACAGTGGTACCCCTATTTAATGCTCCTTACTTTCAACTCTACATTAAGGCATGTCCACATTACTCGTGCTCGTGCGTCAGAAGCTTACGGCTGCCAGAAAATCAGGATCTGGAGCTGATATCTGTTGTGAAGAAATGCGAAGGCTTTGTATGCAAACCAGTTTGGGCGTCCACTTCGTCAGCTCCAGATTCTGATTTTCCGGCAGCAGTAAGCTTCTGACGCACAAGCATGAGTAATGTGGACGCGCCTTTAAACTCTGTTTAGTGTCCAAACAGTCATTACCAAGTGTGGTTATACTCACAATGAAACATGACAAACTCTGGATGGTCAAATATCAAACAAAAAAGAACTATGTGAATTAAAGAGGGACTGGTTATAAATTATAGAAAAATGACATTGTGCTCATTGAAGTGTTTTGATTTGAGGATATTTGGATGTATAAAATATTAATTTTTAGGATGATAATTTAGAACAAGTTGGAATACAAAATTTGTTAACAGAGCTAGAAGAGAAACCACAGGTGGAAAAGTATGCTAAGCAAGAAACCAGCAAGAAGTAGTCAGAGAGCAGAGCATTGCTGTGAGAACCTCATATCCAACAAAATTTTGAATGCATTTCTTAATTTTTGTACAAATGCTACATGTCCTGTTCAATTCTAATTCCTTTACTTTACCATTCAACACAAACTAAAAAGTTCCTTACTCAGCAGTCCTCACCAATCTCTTGCTAGTTAATCCTCCTGAGGTATGAACATTTTTCAGCAATAATTTTGAACTCTGTTCTTCTGCTGAAGTGAAAGACCATGATTCACCACCATATGGAACTAGCAAACAGAATTTTCAAACATTCCTTAATATGGCAAAAGGCAACAGACACTGAACTCAAGGGCACAGAATTATCACCATCAGTTAATGACCATGACATACCAGTTCTTCTGTATGCACTCTTTCATTATAACTTAAAATGTATTCTTTACACCTGGTTTCATTTACAGAGCAATCTCAATTTAGCAAATACTTTTTCTGGTCCCAATCAAAGCCCAATATAAACAATGTAATATTTTCCTATATACAGTTAACTGGAACCTAGATTTAATCAAACTCTGAATAAGACAACATTCAATATTCATATTTTCTCTATACTAAAAACAGTAACCTCATAACCACAGCCTTTGAAAAATTTACATGATGAGTAAGCACCTAATCACCAAGCTGTGGCATCACATTGCTTCATTTCTCAACTGAGGTTCTTTCAGTGTTTATTTCATACATTATTCATTATTACTGAAATTAATTTCATATGACTGTGTACATGTACTTCCTTGCACACAAATAGTCTCTTCAGCTACATTTGTAACAATCATAATGGCACATAGGAAGGTGAACATTTTCTGGATACAATTTTGCTCAACCCTCATTTAGTAAAAAAACTTAATTCAGTGTAAGAAAACCCAATTCTCTATAGAATCATTAAATACGGATTTCAGCATATATCAGTCATTACTTGATGAAACCAGAAACTTACTAATTAGAAATTACCCATCAAAGACACCTACCAAAAAACATAGGAATGTCCATTTTATCTTCATGATCTACCTTCTTACGTAAAAAGACCAAATATGCAGCATAAAAGAAAGCACTGACTAGAGCCAAAATAGCTCCTGCTGGAACCTTCACTTCAACCGTGAGATCTGACAGGCTCACCAACACCTACACACAAAACAGAAACATCCAGCAAGCAGCAACATTACATACACTGACTCACTCTTGGGGCTGAGCCCTTCTTGAAAAGATGCCAACTGTGCAGCTACTCAGGAACTTCCCAGCATTTTATTGAACCTGAAGGTTCATTACCATGTTCAAAAGATCCCTCCACATGTCCCTAGCTTGAGCCAGAGCAATCCAATCCATACCATCCTGTCTAATATCCATTTTAATATTGTCCACCCACCTACTTCTTGGTCTTCCCAGAGGTCTCTTTCCTTCTGGCTCTCCCACATATCCTACATGCATTCCTCTTCTCTCCCATTCATGCCACATGCCCTGCCAATCTCATCATCCTTGACTTGATCATTCTAACTATACTTGGAGAAGAGTACAAATTATGATGTTCATCCTGCAGTTTTCTCCAACCTCCTGTCACTTCATTTCTCTCCAGTACAAATATTTTCCTCAACACCCTGTTTTCAGACACCCTCAGTCTATGTTCCTCCCTTAATGTCAGAGACCAAGTTTCACACCAATACAGAACCACAGGCAAAATTATAGTTTTATATATTTTAATTTTTATGTTTTAAGACAGCAGACAAGAAGACAAAAGGTTCCGGACCAAATGGTAGCAAGCATTACCAGAGTTCAATCTCTTCTTAATTTCCTCCTGAATCAGGTTTTGATTTGTTATAGGCATTCCCAAATATCTGAACTGTGCCACATTTTCAAAATATCTGTTACCTATCTTTACATCATGATTTTGCCCTGCATTTTGGTGATGAGACAGCAACATATACTTAGTTTTCTTTGTGTTTACTTCTAGACTTCCCTTGCTTACTAATGTCAATTAGTTTGTGTGTTTCTCTTTATGGTATCTAAATTATCACCCAGTACACATTACATACAACAAGCACTAAAGAGTGACCATAAAGACAACACACAATATCAATTGCAGGGATCTAATTTTTAACAATATTTCTTACATTTATTTTCACGTCTGATGAATTTGATTCATCATAAAAATCATACTTACAAATTTTATAGAGAACTGTTCTGTACTGAAAACGGTGCAAGTAGCAATGGCACAAGACTAAATTCAGGTCTTGCAACTCTGAGGTACTGGAAATCTTGAACACATTATAGATGCAAAAGCTTTAGAAGACCTAACTGCCTCAACACTGACTATCAACATATGGAACACCTTCCTCCAAACTGCTGGAAGTATTTTTATTACTTGACATGGGGTTATAACCAGAAGAGAGAACAAGGAACAACTCCAACAGTGTACAGAGGGAATTAAAAAAAAAAATTACTGTATATTATATTTTCCAGATCCAATCATATGTCGGTGTTTACAACAGCTGTTCTATGGCTTCAATTATTTCACAATAAACATACATTGGCTGTCAAAAAATGGAGTGCACAACTATTTCTGTAAAACTGAACTTCACTGACTGTTTCATGCAGCAGAATAGATTGCATTGCATATGTGAATACACCTGTCTACAGTCTTGATACAACTGGAGAGAAGAGACATGGCCCTTTCAAATCCAAGTTATTTTCTCATACTCTCCTTCTACTTCCTCATCTTCTTCTCCTTACCTGTCTCCTGATTCATAGTCTTCTTCCCTTTTACATATTTTCCTCCTCCTTCCTCCTCTTCCTTGTTCTCTTAACCTTAACTCCATCTCCTTACACCTTTCTGCCTTTTCATTTCCATCTTCTTATTTCTCTTCCATCTCATTTTGCAGTAAGGATGATAATAAATATTAGAGTTAATTTTACCGACCACACAACACGTTTTTTATTTACTGTCACACTACATGTTTCAACGTCAAGAGGTCATCCTCAGGTGTACGAACACAGTTGCACAATCACACGCAATCACATTCGTTTTTCCACTTATTTTGATCCTGTATCCTGTTCAGGTCCACGCTCAAATAACAGGATACAGGATCAAAATAAGTGGAAAAACGAATGTGATTGCGTGTGATTGTGCAACTGTGTTCGTACACCTGAGGATGACCTCTTGACGTTGAAACATGTAGTGTGACAGTAAATAAAAAACGTGTTGTGTGGTCGGTAAAATTAACTCTAATATTCATTTAATACACAACAGGATGCAAGGAACAATTAAGGATGATAATAATTTTGTGAGATATAGGTAAGTGTAATACTGATTATTATAATTATGAAGTTGAATTACCTGAACAGATGCACTTTCAAGGTAGAAATTACCTATAATACCCTAACATTAAATGCTGCAATAACTGATTTTAAGAATGAATAATTTTTGTCAATTCCATTCTCTACCACATCAATTAGTTCTACGTTTCTCCACTGAGCAGCCATGAACAGTTATAATTAAAGTGAATTATTGCTAAAAGAATGTAAATGTTTGCTTTTGCTGTGAAAACACCTGATAACAGATGCACAGAATGACCGTACTCTTTATCATTATCTCTTGTCTGTTGTACTTTTCAATAATTGTCGGGTCAGAGGTTCAGAACAGTAACGAGACAATTTCAACACTGATAAAGAGATGTCTCATTCTTTTATCCACTTGTTCAAATCCATGAAAACTGTGTACCAAAGACAAGAGTATTTAAAAATATAACTTATCAGTTTTATGTTCCTGTTCCTACCATAGATTTAACAGAGAACACCCACAATATTGTGATGTGTACTTTATACTCTTATTCATATGTATGGCAGCCACGACCATTAAAGCGGCATGCCGAGTGCTGTGGTAGAGTTCTTGAATGCAATTTACATCCTCATTCCTATTTCCTTCATCATATGATTTAGGTTTTGACTACGGTCTTCACAGTTATAATACCATGTAATTTGATAGGTGGTTGAAAATGTTTCTGAGAAACATACTGCCTCTATCATAACCCACAAGGCCAGTTTAAATATTCTTCACTCCAAAAACCTCAAATCTGAACAACAAAGCAGTAAAATATCACAGAACACCAGATCTTGAACCTAAGGGCACACTCTCCAAACAGGCATATGAATGTTGTGAGGCAAAAAACATTTTGAGCATAAATAAATATTTAACATATTTTTCACGGAACATCCTTATTTTCCTTTGTTCTGCTATGTAACTGTAATGCAGTCAATACAAAATTTGGCACTGGGCCCATTTAAACAAACATATACGTAAATCTGTTAAAATCAACTCAACCAACAGCCACATGCTATAAAGAGATCTAAAATGGAGGACAGGATGTGCATAAATTCCAATCCTTCATCAACTGAGTATAGCGTGACTTACTGTGACATCAATGATGCTACACAATGAATAAGCAAGTGTTAAAACAAAACCTTCTTCTAAGGGTACATACTTATCACATACGAAGAATTATCTGTTTATTACTACACTAGAGACATGTAAATGCAGTTCTGAAAGCAGAAATTTACTTACAAGCCCACTGATGCTTATACATACAGCTACTAGTTTAGACAGAGTGAAACGGTCACCCAGGTTCGACGGAAAAAGAGCAGCCAATATCAGTGTAAACAAACTGGATGTTGAAGACAGAACTGTGATGATGCCTGCTTCTGTATCAGCTAAAGCAGTCTGATACGTATAGTTGGCAATAAACCACTGAAAGAAAAAAAAAAGTTTAATCAAAAAGAAGAGTTATCATTGATTTCTACCTAAAATGAACCTATTCCCATCCATAAGCATACCTATATGCTCCCATGCTACAGCTCATCATCACAACATGCATATCAAAGGAAAATGTGAAAGATCCCTTAAAGTGTTTCTGCTGCCATCTGCAAGTGTTACTATGATGCTGTATGGTTCAGTACACTGTTGAAGCTGCAGGTAACATCTAGAGTACCACTGAAGGTAATTCACAGATAAGGAATAATGGAAACAATTACAAACACTTTTCCATGGGTAGCATTCTAGAGCAGGCTACTTGGAGTGAGAGTGTGAATAGGTTAGCCTACGCTTAAACTTCATAAACTCAGTTAAGAAATCTTACAAGTGCAATGTTGACAACAAACACATTCTTACAATTTTGTAAATTAAATAAAGAAGAGTAACTGTTTGAAACCTAGTTTCTCCAATTTATGAGTGACATTAGAAAACCTGAATAATTTATCTTGTAGTTCCATTAATTATGGATGGCTAGAGATGGAGAAGAATTGGGAAACAGTATGTCAAAAGGTCTTTCATGAACATTCTGCAAAAATAATTTCAGCACAGAAACATGAAACTTGATATTTTATTATTCCCAAGGAGAGATTCCACAAAGTATTACCCAAATTTATCGAGGCAACTATGTTACTGAATTACTTTCATTTCTGTAATATTTATTTATACAAAACGAATTTGTTTGTAAGATAGCTTTTGCGATATGACTGGTAATGTGTAAGCTGCTAGAATATTATCAGCGTTTTAAAGGAAACTGCTGCTCACATCTTCAGGACAACAGAATAAGCTGAGCACTAGCACTGCCAGTGAAGATGGATGTAACAAGTTCCTCCAAAATGTTCTACCCGACACTGTCAAAGACAGTAATCCTGATATAAATTGAGTTCTGATTCCTCTTTTTGCCCTTGAATAGGCATGGGCCACTGTTCTAGTTCCACCTATTATATGCATGGAAATAAATGAACTTCCACTACAACAATTTTCTAGATTCTTCTAACTCACCAAAATGCAAAACATAAGAGAAATTTTCGCAACTTTCTGTATAGGGAATTTACTAGCAGCACGCCGAGCTACTTCTCCTGCACGCACACTAGCTTGATATGACAGACGTGCCAGGAGTGCTTCAGTTGCATCAGTCTCTGACATGTGACGAACCTGAAATCAAGTCACATATGTACCACATAACTGATATAAAGAAACGCAACTGCATGAAACAGAAAGAACTCACTTCCAAACCACATGAAGTTAAGTTAAAATACCTAGTACGATATTATTAAACTAACCTCAGCAAGTTTGCTGAAGCGTACAGATTTTACAGATGAGTCATCACTCTCAGTTCCAGAACTTCTGTCACTTGGATCAGGAAATTTTATTGGGACGAATGTAGGATCACTCTGTAAGAGAAATATGTTTACATATTGAACTTCAATGTTGTCCCTTGTAAAATGATATGTAACATGTGCAGAAAAGTTCTTCAGGAAATAAACATTAACCTTCTTTACTCTTCTTTATGTTTCTACCTGTAAGTTCCAACACACAGTTTATTTCTGAATGTTAATAGTTGTTTACAACTAGTAATTTGATTGGTTACTTTCAAAATCAACATTCAACTCAATTTCAGATACAGTGAAAATGAAAAGTAGTGGTTTGTATATTTAATGAGGACAGAAGTTAAGAGAGTACTAAAGGTATCAGTACAACTGAAAATAAGTGGAAAATACCAACAGAAAAGTCAGAGTATAGCCAAATTATGTGAAGGATGACATAAATGATAAAAGGAATGCATTATGTAAGTTTCAGCATGTTCAGGTATGTACTTAAAAAGTATCAGAAGCACTTTTAATTTGTCTTATAAACACTGAACATACCATATACCTATAAAGTTGAATAGTGTTTTCAGGTTTAATATTTGGAAACAACAAAAGAAAAAAAAGGTGTGTGGAACATATTCAGTCTCAGTAGTACAGAGGATAGGTAGCATTATTTACACTGATCATGTTTGAAAAAAAAAAAACATCTGAACTATTCTCAATCATACTTTTGAATTGGAATTTGTCTTATAATGCAAACAACAGGAATGCAACATAAGTGAAATGATGCTCTCATCTCAGCAAACATTAAGAATACACTCTTCTGAGATGAGATGCAATGTAGGCTGGTAAGTAACTACCAAAGTTTCAGAGAAACCTGCTGCTTCCATCTTTGTGGCAGGTAGCAAATTAATCCAAACACTGGAACCTATCTACCACACTATAAAGCATCATATCCCATAAGATCATAATCTTAAAGACTGGAGTCTTTTCACTTGATTAAGGCCACGCCATAGCTCAAGCGGTTAGTCACTGGTTTCCCACCACGGCGGCCTGGGTTTGATCCCAGGTCTGGTCAAGTGGTATTTGTGGTGGACAAAGTGGTGCTGGGGCAGGTTTTCTTTGAGTACTTCAGTTTCCCCTAACAATCTTCATTCCACCAATTGCTCCACAATCACCCTCACCTATCATCTGGGGCTGGTACAATAGGTCAGAAGTGGCTGCAGTACAAGGGACTTAGTACCATCCCACTAGCAATAAAAAAGAAGACACCTGATTACTATTATATGCATAGTAAATTCAGGTCAACGCTTACCAAACTTGTATTTCCCTCTGTATAGAAGTTTTCATCTTCCACATTTGGATCAATGTACTGTAAAAAGAAAATAAAAGTTATGTTTATAATTTTGTACTGTCATCACTAACACAGCTGTAACATGTCCCAGTGCTCTAGGTCAGTTTGGTTGGTAGAGTACAAGCTTCCTGACTGGAGATCCCCCTACTTACAAAGTATAACAATATTCAGTCTTCAACAAAAATGACTATTGTTTAACTTATTGCGTGACTTTTACTAAGAGTCTAGCCTATGCCACGCCATAGCTCAAGCAGTTAGTCGCTGGTTTCCCACTGCGGCGGCCCAGGTTCGATCCCAGGTCTGGAGTTTTCTCCGAGTACTTCGGTTTCCACTGCCAATCTTCATTCCACCAAATTCTCCATCATCATAATCACTTGGGGCAGGCTACAATAGACCAATCAGTGGCCGTCATGCCGAGTGGCCCCGGTTGGACTCCACCCTCCGCTAAGCGAATTAAAAAAAAAAAAAAAGTCTAGCCTGGCATGAGTCATGAATGTCATATAATAAAATAATTCAAAATCATATGTTTTTCCACTATGTTTTCAGTTGAATACAGTTCTATAACCTTCAATATTATCCCAAGAATGGCAGTTCTTATATGTTATTATGCTGTCCTGGATTAATTTTCATTTAAAACACTGGCACTGGAAATCCTTATTAATAAATTTATCAATTAATCATTAATGTCATTCCCTATAATGATCAGCAACATTACTTAACCTAAAGGAGAGAATAGTTTTAACAACCAAGAGCTTAGCTTCCAACTGGTAGTTTCCTTTCACTGTTCCAAAGTTTCCAAATCTATTCAAATGGGTCAACCATTGAACTGTCCTATACACTAACAATACAATTCAAATCGTGAACACTTAAACATAATTAATTTCGGTTAAATTATTCTTTCCAGTTTGATATTACACCACATTATATGAAAATCATGGCATTTATACTCGTAGTCTTGCTCCACTAAACCATTACAGCCTGTTCAAAATAAGTATGTGAAAACAAATGTTAACTTACCATGTATGTGGTAGGTTTATTACACTGGTCTCGCCAAGATGGCCAAAAACACAGCCCCAGTAGATACAGAGTAAACATTGATGTCTTCACATATGTGCTGAAGAAAGGTTTTTCAAAATCTTCATTATGATATATATACTGAAAACAAAATCCAAAAATAATGCAATACAAATAAAAAATTTATAAAATAAAAATGAAAACAAGTGTTGAAACACAGGAGTACTAATACACACTGTTTATACAAGCATTTCTGAACACTAAACTTTGCAACTTTCACTCTGACATTTATGGAATTAGAGCAGACCAAATCTTTATTTTCCCATGCTTCAACTAGAAAATGAAAGACTAAAACATATAAAGACAGTCCTTTGAGGAATTTATGTGACTACCTTCTTTCCTACAGAAAGTATATTTCAACAAAAGTTGTGCATTTTTAAGATATTTAATCACACAATATTTCAGTGGCACAAGAGTTGTTTCCACCTAATATATGTGGAATTGATACCAGAGAATTAAAAAATCTAAAGGTGGGGTAGACTTCAATCTAATTATGCCCATACCAAGTTTAATTAAAATATATCAAATGGTATAACACATTATTATGGGGATCATGGACAACATAAAGGCAAACATCCAGCTGGACATATCTCCATTGACCTTGAAAGGACATCTATAAACTACACCCCTGCTGTTTTACACTGATGTGAATTTTGGTCTCTGACTAGGAAAGATTCGCTTCATGAACTAATTATGCTGTATCAACTGTCAAAGTTTTGAAGCTGTGTGGTTGTGAAGTTGTGAGGTCACAAAGTTGCTATTATCCACTTTCATAACATAAACGTGTTGATCCAATGAAGATAAATAAAGGTCTGAATGCATAACCTGATGCATTCAACTGAAGACATTGGTGGGTCAATTTTATGCCCTGGCCACTTTACCTACAGAAAAGAGATCCACCACTATTCATGGATAAGAGAATGGCTGGAACTAAAACCTGAAATGGATCTAGCAGTGAAGAAAAATTTTTCTGAACATTACCGTCTTCTGGGATATGATACCATGCAGCAACTACTAGGCATCACATCTCAGAGGATGGTAATTTTCGTATTCCCCATCATAAGAACCTCAGATTCCAGTAACAATCTCTGTTCCTTCAAGGGTTCAAATTTCAGTTATCCATATTGTAGCTAGTCACTACACTGACTAAGCTAAACTGATCATAACTGCTTTCATAAAAATGACAATGGAAACTGCACACTTGTGAAGTTTTATTGTCAACTACAGAAGACCTCGCACTGATTGGCACAATATTATTTCCAACTCACAAATTCAGACATCTACTACACTGTTATTAAAAGCTGTCCCTGTAGTTAACCAATTAAGCATCACACCGTGAAGACATATGATTACATGAAGAGCCGACACCAAAAACATTCCAGTAAAAAAAACAGAGGTCAAGAACAAATTCACTGGTACCAATGTTCTACCCTAAAAATATCCAACAACACACTTATGCCATTTGAATTTATGGAACATGTTATGGCAGGAATGCTGTATTTTTTTTTATTGCTAGTGGGGCGGGACTAAATCCCTTGTACTGCTGCCACTTCTGGCCTATTGTACCAGATTCATAGGTGAGGGTGATTGTGCAGCAATTGGTGGAAGGAAGATTGGCAGGGGAAATCGAAGTACTCAGGGAAAACCTGCCACAGCGCCACTTTGTCCACCACAAATCCCAAAGGAATGCTGTAAGTCGAACTGTTAACATCAGAGAAGATAAATACTGTATGTACACACATACAAGGTTAATGTTCTCCTCACCTTCGTCAATTCCGACGACGAAACCCATATAACATCAACTAGCAGCAGGACGAAGAGGCCCAACAAGAGACGTTGTGACTTGTTCAACATCCCGCCTATAGACGATCCTACACTAACCACTTTTATAACCATTGTCATCCTGCTTTCATGGCGGACGTAATGCTTGTGTAGCTTAAAATATCAGTTTTATGAAGATTTGTATTATGGTAAGTTTAACGTCTTCAATTCTGGGGTGTTCAAAATCAGTTTCTTCTCCTCTTTTATATAGTAACAAAATTGTTCATAATTGATCCAATTTAACCTTTACATTTCGTACCAAATCAATAGCGGTGTGCATGCAAAAACACTCTATTATGTAATTAGTTAATTAACTGATAAAATAAACATTCACATTAATTTTCTACATTTCACACTACACTTCTATCCCCACCAACATTTCTTCTACACCACTGCAAGATGGTTGGCCACAAATTGACGTCACATGACTGATGCAGACGACAATAAAAGTGAAGTGGCGCCTTTACAACGAAACTAGTTGCGCAGTCACCTATTGTCACGTACAGTAGCAGAATCGCCAACATTAATCAATTACTGGATTTGAATTATATACTATCTTTCAAAGATGAGTATTTCATATCTAACATGCCAGGCATAGTTTAGAACATATAAAAATTAATGTAATGAACGAATCATATCGTGATATTACTTTATGATTAATAATCTAATTTACTTATGAATAAATATTATTGCGAAAACGGTTGGTTGTACTGCTAGTCAGTGAACTCTTTGAGGTGGTTAGTACATACTTATTAATGTAACTGAGCCCTACTTGAGGAACGGTCAATTCTGCAGCTACTGCAGAATTTCCCAGCGTTTTATGGAACCTGAAGGCTCATTGCCGTGTTCACAAGAGCCCTCCACTAGTCCCTATCCCGAGCCAGATCAGTCCATCTATGCCTTGGTCTTACCAGTGGTCTCTTTCTTTCTGGCTTTCCCACAAATACTCCATATACATTCCTCGCCTCCCCCATTCATGCTACATTCCCTGCCAATCTCATTCTCCTTGACTTGTTCAGTCTAATTATACCCTTCATTGAAACCGATGTGAGAACCTACGAACTACGGGTTATTTCCTAGACCAGCACAAACAGCACGTTGTGCCGGACGACGCGGTGTTACATCTCGGCACGCTTCTGGGTGTAGTTCATTCCATCATATAAAGTTCATTCAGGTTTGAGCGCAATCGAATAATATGGTATGCGTTCGATATTTTTCGGTCTGTCATAGTATTCGAGTTACGGCAAACATATCGCGGAAAATGACAATAATGAATAGTTCAGTCTGCTGGAGTATGATATTCACATTTCTAGTTCGGAGAAAACCCGATGTTTCGGAGGAACATATCGCATCCATTTTCAGGGTCAAAGAGGAAGCAAAGCAAGAAACGGCGTAGTATACCCTCACCAAATAGGATCATTCGACTTTCTACTGTGACGTTCACTGGAATTTTTTCTAGTTTTCCAATAAGCGGATAGTTTGCAACAGTCGAACCCTTCGACAATGATTCGATTGTTCCCGTTACTACCTTCATTCCGCGAATTGTGCAAATAGAAGAGGGTGTTCTCAAGAACGTGTTTCAAAATGAATGCGGTAGAAGTTCATGCGTCTGTGGCAAACGGTATTCCACAGTCAGCTCACATATCCAGGACAGTGACGCGAATGAAGAAAGGTGTTTTAACACGTTTTAAATATACCTTATCATTAGGGTTATAATACCAGAAAAAAACTTAAACCTTGAGAAAATCTCGCGCAGGGTAGTATTAAGTGCATATACTTCAAGCAAATTTTCGTACTTGTGTTCATTTTGTACGATGTTTGCCTGAAGGCTTGGTGTATATCGTTCGGCCGGTCCGGCTGTAGGGCAGCACATTGGTAGTATCAAGTTCCGCATTTATACTCTTGGCTTAGTCAACAGGGTAGTAGCCTTTACACATTAAAATTTCTCTTCAGTATTGCCTCTGTAAAACATTCAACAGCTGCCATGAAGCTACCTTATGCGTTGCACACTTGTTTTCTAATTCCAAGGCCCCGCTAATTTATTAAACATTCAGTCATTCATCCTATTCCTGAGTCAAAAGTGCACGTGAGGGTTACACAATGAAATGAGTGCTATTCCTATTTGAAAATTAAGGTGAAAATTATGGTATAAAATTTAGGATGTTACAATTCCAAACAGAAGTAAATTTCAAACATTCATACAATTGTTAATAATTTTAGATAGACAGGCTCACTGTTGAACAAAAAGAAACTTCATAGGAATGCCATTGCCCGCTGAAGAGAAATTGGATGAAATCAATGCTAGGCTTGAACATTCCCTTTTTGAAAATGCTTTAGACTTCTTGCACAGGAATCAAGTTTCAAGTTTGCCCTGTTGTAAGGAAGGAACTTCACTGCATGAATGTGAACGTATTATGGAGATGCACGAGAATGGATGATTTATGGGATTATGCTGGGAGTCTAATCATGTGTAGAGAAACTTGATATGAGGAGTGTGTCTGTCTCTTCCAGTGGACCGACTGGATGATTTGTGGTAGGTTCTCTCATCATGTCTCCCCACTGGTCTCTTCTATTGAGATTATTCACCTTAACAGCGTTAAATTAAGAGTAAAAATATGAAGTAAATAATATTAAATGAGTAAAGAAGCAGGGTGGTCAAATACGACTGTGTAGGCGCCTTTAAAGATGTATGCTTAGTTTGCAGATGATATCTGCACACTGTTCAGTTGTTTGCAGTACATTGTAAGTTGAGTAGAACTGCTAAGTGGCAGGTGAGAGCAACAGCAGAGACGGCAATATTTTTGATGTCCGCACTTATCTGTCATCTGGGAGCAAGGGATTTTAAATCCCTCAGTATTACATGGCTGGCAGCTGGATTTTAACTTGAGTAATAATATTAGAAAACTTCCATCCAAGGCCAGTAATGGTTAATAGATAATGTTATTATATTAGTCATATCTTGAAACTTAATAAATTTTATGTAAATACTATACAAAGACATGAGATATGTATTTCATTGATGCTTATATCTTTCATTCAGGAAATTTTTCTCCCAGTTGAATTGTGACATGAACCCCAAAATCTCTTAGACACATAAGTAATGTGCGACTTAAAATGAGTGAAAGTGAATGAAATTTATAGAACTTGCTAGTGTCTGTATAATTGATAACACAGAGTTTAATCAAAATTTGCCATGCAGCCACATAACCACTCATTTTCCTGTAATTTAGTTCCAGAGTTACCTGTTCTGGAAAATCGAAATTGGCTAATTCACCTTCATTATTCAAGGAAGGAATTTGGTATTTGTAAAATTCTGCTGCAGGAAGAATTGGAGAAGAGCAATGGGATGTGTGAATATGCAAATTATGTCCAGGTTAGTAACTAAAAGTTATATTGTCGTTCAAGTTTAAATGTTAATGAGGTCTGTTAGAGGTCAGTTGCATTGAGTTCATCTTATTCTGAAGTTATGGTTTCAAAGTCTTGTCAGGAATTAAATATTACTGTGTTGTATTTTTATATTTTAATCTGTTCACATGTTTTGGTGGCTGCAGAACAACATCCCATTTGAGTCACTTTTGTGTTACATGTTATTGTTTTATAATTTTGATCATTTTTTACATTGTACATTAATATAAATCTTTTAACTGTCTTAATGACAAAAGTATGTATGTAGTTTCTGTATTTGCGTATTTTAATCTATTAGCTTGGGACAAAATCCATATCCACTGGTCAGCTGTACCATAAGGATCAACGGAATGTATAAATGTAAATAAATAAATAAATAACAAACTCCGTGGTTTTAGTCCGCAAGCGAACTATACCAATCAAGCGACTGCCGCTTGTTGGCAAAGTTAGTGCTAGCTTAAGCGGATAGAGGGTGTTGCGTGGTCAGCACAACGATTCCCCATGGTCATTAATTTTGATTTTCTAGACTGGAGCCGCTATTTCCTTGTAATAGCTCCTGAATTATCATCACAAGGTTGAGTGGACCTCATTCCAGACCCACTACTTCTCAGAAAATCTGGTAACTCCGGAAATCGAACCCAGGCCCCTGGATCTGTAGCCAGGGACTCTGACCACTAGGCCACAGAGGGGGTCTCAAAAAGAAGTAATATGCCAAGTTGTTAACAATATGGTTACCACCTGCATTAGTTAAATTGGAATCATCTTTTTGGTTAGCATAATAACCTAAAGTAAAACAACTGCAGTGATTTGTTACAGGGGTTGAGTAGTCTAGATTGTCTGTGACTCAGACAGAACAAGTGGCCGTTTGTTATTTATTTATTTATGATTTATTTAATGATGCCATCATTATCTTAGAATATAGACCATTGTGTGGTAGGATGATAAATTAATTAGTGAATTGGACAAGGTATGGAAGGAAGTGGTCATGGCTTAATTAGAGGTATTGCCCCAGCATTTGCCTGGATGGATTGAAGAGAACCATGACAAATTTCATTCATTATAGTTAGCGTTCTGGCAGGGATTCAAACTGAGTTTTCCTGAATGAATCAGCATGCTTGGTTAGGCTATTTGCTGCATGGTAGGAAGTATTATTATGTGGTAAGGGTTAAATGAATCACTGTAGTCAGCCTTCAAAACTTGCGTCATTTGCCTTCTCTTGCAGCTTTTGCAGTTGAATTTATTTTTTTCTTTTGTGTGTGTTTCTGGTGGCTGTTTCATTTTAGCCATATTTTATTTTGTTTCTGAAAGTATAAGACCAAAATCTTATACCTTAAGTTGTAGATACATTTCCTCATTTTATCTTGCAGGGTCTCATTTTGCGACATGAAGGGAAGATTCAGGAATCTCTTGAATATTTTCAGACATGTCACAGTCTCAATCCAAGAAACGTAAATAATATCAAAGAAGTGGCCCGTTCCCTGTAAGTATAAAATATTTGGGTATCTCACTGACACCTTAAGTCATTTAATCTGGAGTACTATTGCTACACTGAGGATGGTAACGTTGTGGTCATGGCAGCTTAGCTGGTATCTTAGCACCTGCTAAATATTTCTTCCTTACAGTTTCTTTGCATATGTTTCATTTTTTTATATTTCTCATTGTAATTCCAAGGTGACACAGTAAGACCCAGTTTCAAACATTTAGTGTTCATTTTTGTTACCTTGTCTGTAATCTTGATCTCGTGACAAATTAATGTATGTGGCTTTATGTACTCATGTTTTTGGATAATGCAAAAACGATTCATGTAAACTTTATAAGAACGACTGTCATACACATGAATTTGCGGTGTATACAAATTGTTAAATAACATGCATTTGATCAACCAATCAGTTTCATTAACTTAAGAGCATATATTACTGAGTGATAGACCGAAAAGAAAGGCGTAATGAGCTGTAAGGCTTTATTTGTTTCATGCTTCATTACTCTCCTATTTCTGGCAGAATTTTTAATGCAGTTGTATATCTTCCAGTTATCTCCTTGGACGACATAGATTGGCCATAGAAGCATACCTGGAAGCAGAGACTGTATCTAGCAAACCAGACTGGGATATTTATCATAACTTGGGTATGGTTCAGATTTATACTTTTGCCTAATTTTTGCTGTGTACTAATGAAAGTGTATGAGATCACTGCATAAAAAGATGTTAGGTCTGAACTGAAGCTAATTCCACAGAGACTCTTGCTTGGGAAGCTAATAGTCACTCAGCTAGTCAAGGCTGAAACTGAAAGGTTTGTTACCACATGCACAAGAAATGTCTAATGTGTGATTTCTGTGGTAAATTTCCATAACTTAAAGCCCTTGGGTAATGATGCCTATCCAGTTATATTTTGTTCTTCCACTTTCTAACAGGTTCCTCATCCCAGTTTTGTATGTGTTTAAAATTTCTCCAGAGTTCCACATGTTTAGAGTATAATGTATTCTTTGATTTAACTATGTTAAGAATATGAGGAGTATTGTGTGAATCGCTAAGTAACTTGTAGTAAATGTAAAAAAGAAACTGAATTTTAAGCTCCATGCAATAAGAGCATGAGAGTAAAGTTTCACATTCTTGAATCTTGGCACTAGATGAAGGTGACTGACCAGCTTGACACTTTGAGTGGTTCACCCTGAGAAACAGAGTTCATGGTAACCATTGGATAGGAGGTTTGGTGGATCCCAGAGGTTGTCAGGACATGGTGACAATTAGCAGAATCCCTTGCTCTTCCAGGAATTCTGCCTTACATATTCACCTTGTAGCCAGTTGATTTTATGACTGAGCTGCCAAGCCTCATTACTTTTTCCAGCACAATACCATGTAAGAAACTGAGGTTTTGATAGTGGTGACAATGAAGATTGCCGTCTTCTGGGAAATGACACCATGTGGTCCGGCAGATTGTTGCCAGTGCTTCAGAAGGATGCGGTGCTGCCATCCACAGAGTAGTCTGCCCTGAAGATTGGACAGCATGTTCCTCCAGAATGTTGGTAATGATCTGCCGGATTATGCAGTGTCACAGTTCAGAGAACAGTAGTCGTAATATTGAATGGAGTTTGGAAACTTCTTGTGAATCTGTTTGTATGATTACCTTGTCACATTTCGAGAACAGTAGTCGTAATATTGAATGGAGTTTGGAAACGTCATGTGAAATACCTTGTGCTTGCAGGGACATGCTTGTTTCATGTTGGTGAGCATACAAAAGCCAAAGCATACTTAATGACAGCCATTGAACTGAGTCATCAGGAGGGCTCATATGTGGAGTTGGCCAAGATTCTTCTTCTTGAAAATGACATCCAAGGAGCCATTGGGATTTTTAATGCTGCTCTAGAGTAAGTCCTAATGGTGAAATGTAATTTTTAATGGGTTGGGCATGTCTGGGTTTTAATAATGAAATTCCTTTTTTTCTGAGTAATGTCTCTAGTGTGAGGAGGAAAAATGTATGTGGAAGAAATCTTACATGGTTTTATCTATAGTCATGCTCTTATCAGCCTTCCTGAGCAGTGGTGAAGGAGGTGGGAGCTCAGATGAGACAGACTTCATTATCTCCAAAGTAAGATGATGTTGGAGATGATGGGAATCATAGGTTACCAAGTCATCAAATTAATCAAAGCCACTAGATTCTAAAGGGTTATGATGGTGGTGTGTGACACTCAGAATTACTGTTTTTTTGGACTCTATCCATTGTCCAGTATTCCAAAGAATGCCAAAGAACACAGTGTTTTAGAAAGTGGATCTATTTCTGTCTTCAGGTGAGGGGGTGGGAGATGCTAACCCTAATCACTCAACCCCAATGCAGTGATGGACTGAATAATGGACACCCAATAGTCCCAAGTAGTCTGAGCCTGTTATTCCTTTTCACATTCACAAACGTTTGCTTTGACAGAGGTGAGGGAAGGGGAAAGTGGTGATAAATCTGAATTTTGTCTCAAACTGTACCTTTTGCATGGAAGTCAGCACCTTCTCAGTGACTATAATGGCATGTGATTGAGTGACTATAGATGGGGTTTGGATTGGTAATCACATTTATTGAACTCTTAAACAACTCATCACTACAGATAACTATGAAAATCTCACTGAGTTACACACTCCAAAGGTCACTGTAACTACAGCAAACATAAAGTCTTCTCAGTCTTCACTAGCTGTTGCTTGGTAGTTGCTTCAATGGTGGATGTTCCTCTTTCTCTGGTTTCCTGAACTGTCCCTGGCCTCAGCTACCAGCTCCTCCCTTCTCACAGCTGCAGCTCTCAACTGACTACCATAACTCAACTACTAGTCCCAGTTATATAGCCCGTGGCATGAACTGCATAGAAAACATCTCTGTCATTATTGCATATTCTCTCATTGCTGGGAAAATGTGTCCACAGAGCTGTTCCCTAGCAATGGATTTTGTACTGTCACTTGTTTATGCAGCTGTTACTTGGCGAATTGTCTACATGTTACAGTAAATATTCAACTGCTTTTAACTTTGTACTTAATGACCATTGTAACTTTAGCAGTCTATTTTATGATTTCTGTTAACTTTAAGTATCCTGTTTGTGCTCTCTGATGTTTGAAAACGTTGTTAATTGAGACAAGAGTTACTTTAATTTTGAAGAATACTTTCTTTTGGGATGGTATACCTTGCCGTCAGGTAGAAGTTTGTTAATGTTTTGAAGGAATGTACTTCCTCCATCTCCAGGACTGAAGAGTAAGAAACAAGTAGCAAGCAGCAAGTGGAGTTCACTCTGCTAGTCATTGTCATCTGGATAATTAGGCAGATGTCTAATAAAAAACTTTGTGGATATCATCTGTTAGTGAACTATACTGATCGAGCGATCGCCACTTGTCAACGAAGTTAGTGCTGTCTAATAGGGAACTGAAGTTTTATCATGCTCTAATATTTATGCATGTTGGTAGGTCTGCTCTTTGATCCTGAAAGTGGAGGCAATATGTTTGTCCAAAACATTGACAGACTTCTTCCAGACTGTAGAGTGTAACATCCCATAAGAAAGCGGTCTTCATAGCCATCTCCCTTAGAACTTGAAATCTCTCTGACTTTAACTTTGTTTATCAGATGGTATCCAGACAGCTGTGAGCTTGCAACATCATTGGGACTGGTGTACATGAAGACTGGACAGTACCAACGTGCATTTGAGAAACTGGGCTCTGCTCTCGCGCATGACCCAATGTGTACTAAGGCCTTATTGGCTGCTGGTTCTATGATGCAGGTATGCAAGAACTATGAGGTGGTTCTGTGGGTTATTAGTAGCCCTATATGAAATGTGAATTATTTACTTTCAGAGAAAACATTTGTCTGTGTGAACTGTGGGGCATTGTGGAGGAACCTTTTACAGCTTATTTCAAGATACAATCCTAAATTTATTTGGAGAAAGAAAAGAAAATCATGAAACCTCTCAGTTGTGACAGTTCCCAGACTGATATTCAGTCCAGGTATCTGTTGATTGCATGTCAGAGTTAATGCTTGAGCAAACTTGCTTGGTGTTTCTCAGAGTGGAATTCATGGGACCCACACAATGATACAGACATATCTTAAATTTTCATTCTTCTAGCTCTTGATAGTAAATAATTTAATGTTATAAAAACTGAAGGTTTGTTACTGTTTTGATTAATATCTGGTATATGAGCTTGAAAGAGTTCACATAATTGCAACTTGTCTGCATAAGAACAGTTGCAAAGAATATCCTGCCATCTGTGCCATTACATCTCAGTGAGCTCTCTCTATGAGGCTTCCTTATGAAATTTTTATATGCTTGGGCATTATTTGTCAGCAATTCAAAATATTTGGTCACTTCACCATAAATAGCTGATAACTGCATTTTACAAGTGTTGACCAAGAAGCTTATCACCAGGGCTTACTATTGCTCATAGATCTAGTTCTGTGTGATTATATTTTCCTTGTACTTTCAGAATCACAAGGATTTTGATGTTGCTCTCTCCAAGTATAAAATCGCTGCACAGTTTTTGCCTGAGTCTATTCCCCTCTGGAATAATATTGGAATGTGCTTCTTTGAAAAGAAGAAATATGTGGCAGTAAGTCTTCTTCGTAATGACAGCATGATAGTAACATAATATTCGCATTTAAGTGTTTGCACAAATTAAAGACATGGCCGTTTTATGCCTCTCATTCAGTATGCAATTTATTAGCAGTTGCAATTTAAATTATGCATTTTCAAAGAAGTTTCTGTCACAGTCAAAACCCAAATTCAGGAATGGCTGTTCTCCAGAATTTCAGGCTTTGGCTGGATATTTATGACAATTCATTTATCATGTGTGTGAAAGTATGAAACAGGATCTGTGGATTTAATAATATATGACTTAATGAAACTCAGTGTTAAAACTTGTAATATTTTTGTAAAAGTACTACATTTAAATTACAAAAATAATTACTGAAGGTCAATTTCTGTCATATGATAATTAAAACAGTTGTTTAATGAGTTTTATAATAAAGTGGAATTTCCATTTGTTCCTTGATTTAAGGCTGTGTCTCATTTAACATTCAGGTTAGTGATTCAAAAACAGTAATCTCAATGCTGAATTTCCCCCATTCAAGATTTTCTTCATTTCTATCTTCAAATCCACTGTTCCCCAAAGAAACCGTAAATGGAGGTTTCAGTGTAGTTGATGACCTTTTTTAATATTTGATGTATATAATATATTCCATAGACTGGCAGAAGATAATTTAATCTTAATTTCATGCCTATCATTGGGCCCCAGAATGATGTTTACTGCTTACTGTCTGTTGAAATTGCTGTGTGTTTAGTTATGAACACTTAGGCCATTGATATATATCATATCCAGGGTAGATCTTTGTTCTTGTTTGCTGAAATCTCTTTATTTGTTAATGTCATCCCTCTCTCTGAGGTCTGTCACAATTGCTGTAGAAGCTGTTAGTTTACTAGAGCTGCTACACTTAGTTTCATTTTTCATGTTTCTAACTGTTTGTAATGTTGTAATATATGTTGTATTCACAGGCCATCAGTTGCCTTAAAAGAGCGAACTATTTATCTCCGTTTGACTGGAAGACTTTGTACAACTTGGGGCTGGTTCACCTCACAACAAAACAGTATGCATCTGCTTTTCATTACCTCTCAGCAGCAATCAACTTGAATCCTACATGTGCAAAAACCTTCATGTTACTGGCTTGTAAGTCTTGAGTCTTTATTCAGAAAGTGAAGTTTGATTGCCATGACACTGTATACACAAATACAGAGGACTCTCTTACAATATGAGGTTGTTCTTAATGAAGGATTTTCTGGGGATGGTAGATTGTGAAATTGGATCTCTAAAGAAGGGAAACATGTTAAGAAAATGGAAAACTGGGCACTTCTATGCAATTTGATAACAATTTTGAAGAATGTTACAGCATATAAAATACTTTACTATTGAATGATTTTACTTTTATGTGGGATGCTTTTTGATTAATGATATCTGTTAGTATTAAAGTATATTTATGCCATCACAGAGTGACAGTTTGTGTTATTCAGTTCAGCATATTTTAATAGAGACATAAGGAATGAATATAATATAAAAGTCAATTAAGACATGCTAAACTTATCTTTCTCAAATAAAATAAAAATAAAAAAAAAAGTAATATATGTATTTAAAAGTTTCAAATCATTATCTCTTCATCATTATTGCAATACGTGGATTTTTAATTTCTTCATGTTTTATGGTGGTGAGTGTTCAGATTGTAATATTGTGGGTTGTGACACTGTGTAATGGATACATCAGTGGGTACCAACATTTCAGAGGAAAGTATTGGCTCCATGTTCACAATCAAAGTGAAGGTGGATGCACCATGTTCCTCCAGAACATTGGCATCCATTTGCAGGCTACACAGCATCACATCCCAGAAGACTACAATCTGTGCAATTATTAAGAAGAGTTCTTTCTTCTGGGATGTAACGTCATGTATTCCATTGAAAGTCAACTGACATTCTGGTGGAACTTGAAACCTCCGTCTTCAGGGTCAACATGTTCCTCCAGAATGCCAGTTGACTTCTAACAGACTACACGGCATTATATCCCAGAAGATAGAACTCTTCATAACCATGGCTGTGAGAACCTCAAATCCTACATGTACAAGGGCTATTTGGTGAGTAACCTCAGTTCATTTTGGGCTACTAATGTAGAAGGGGGAAGCTCACACATGTGAGATAGTGTCATGTGACTCATTGCTTTGTAAACCATCCCATAACTGGCCACCTAGTATCATTCTTGTCTCTGTAGAGTGAGTTATGAAGTCTCCTGTGATTGATAATCCTGCCAGCTGTGAAATTCATGCTGTTATCTACTTTCTTCATGCTAAAAATGAGTGCTACATAAATGCGTCATTAATTATGTGCAATTTACAGCCAAAAATATTATGTCAAAGATGGGCAGGTGATAAAGTGTGAAATGGTCGGCCATCTGTAATAGTGATGATCTTGTTGAAAGTGCTGATAAAAAAAATCTGTGGAAGACAGCGCTTTACAATTTTAGAACTTTTGTATGAATTTCCACAAATTTCACATACTGTTCTCTATGAGATTATCACAGTTAGGCTAGTCTGTCAGAAGTTTTATACAGATGAGTTCCAAAAATGCTCACAGGTGCACACAAAATGCAAAGAGTGACTTTGGCTTTTTTACAGTGATACCACACAGATGGTGATGAATTTTTCAATCCCATATGGGTAACAGTTGATGGAACCTTTTCTGAATGTTGAAACCATAGAGCAATCAAAGCAGTGGATGTACACACATTCACCAAACAAGCCAAAGAAGTTGAAATAAACACCGTTTGCCAGAAAGCTGATGGCAGCTGTTTTCTGGAACAGGAAAAGTGTGTTAATGGTGGAATTCAGGCAGCAAGGGACCACAGTAATGCCAGAAGTCTAATGCAAAACACTAAAAATACTGAGTATGGCCATTCAGAACAAAAGGTGTGGAATGCTGTCATCCAGTGTAGTGCTCCTTCATGACTATGTGCGCTCGCATACAGCTGTTCGCACATGAGCACTTCTGGGGCATTTCAGCTGGGAGTTGTTTGACCACCCTCCTTATAGCACTAATCTCGCTGCGAGCGACTACCACCTGTTTACCAACCTGAAGAGCTAATTGGGATCACACTTCAACAATAATGAGGAGCTGGTGGAAGGTGTCTAAATGTGGGTGACACAAGTGGCAGATATCTTTGGCACAGGCATACAAAAACCTATTGCCCGATATGAGAATTGCCTTCAATTTCAGGAGTGACTACATTGATAAGTAGCTTAAGTATGTATATATTTTTTATACATAATACTTTTTTTTCCTCATTGGTTATTTTGTTAACAGCACATTGGAGATTACTTTCCAAATAGTCCTTATGCAAGTATTGATTATTGAAACAGTAATAAATCTGATTGAAATTTCCTCTTTACTGAAAGTTTTATCAGTAGAGTTTAATTTTATGCATAACTGCTGGATTTGTGTTCTTTGTACATTTACAGGCGTAGTAAGTTCATCTAATCCAGATATTCCCTGAAATTATCCATGTGAAATCATTATAGAACACTATATTTTTGTAAGTGCTGCAGATGTAATGTCTTGGTGTCTTATCCTAACAAGTGTTTCTTTTTACCAGTGGCATTAAAGAACCTTGGAGATCCTGATAATGCTCGTCATGCATTTGAACAGGCATCAAAACTTGATCCAGTTGATGCAGCTGTGGCATTGAATTATGGAGTACTCTTGAGTTCGGTTGGAGAAAGAGAGAAGGCGTCAATTCAGTTGAGGAGGTTCCAGGAGCTTGCAGAAGGAGGTTCAGGACTTGATCAAGAGGTACAGGATATGGTCACATAGTGACCATTCATGTTTAAAAACATACTTATGAAAAGGATGGTTTGAGGTTCACTTATCTATACTGAGGTTAGCAAAGCTCCAGTTCAGAGTTAAAGATTTATATGAAAAATAAGGTTGTAATATTGTGTTGTCTGGTGAGGCCTGTTGTACACCTCAGAGATCATGACAGATGGATAGGAAATTTTCATAGAATGATGATTGGCTGCTAGATTGTTACTGACATTTATAGGAATATGCTGTCTCCTTCATCACTCTTCTAACTTGAAGATGGAGGCATCAAGCTGATTTGAAATGTCAGTAAAAATCTGCCAGACTACATGGTCTCACATTCCAGAAGGCACTAATCTTCATAGTCACTGCCATGCAGAGCTCAGTCTTGGATTCAAATGAGTTAATTCCAGATATGGAACTTGTGTGTAAACAATCATTGTTTTAGAATGTTCACTTCATCTATTGATAAACTTCTAATCTTCATGCTCATTTGGAAATAAATACACATTTTTTAAAATATATGATAGAGTACATTACCAAAATTCTGGTACTTTTCTTGGATAATATATCTGGCACTCAGTATGTTAAAATTCTTTAATTTGAAATGAGTTCATGGGGCAATCAGTTAGGATTCAGTATTTTGGAGACTGTTTCTGTCTCCGAAACTTTGGATATGAAAGTCATTTTGACATGGCTGATTGCCAGAGAAGACTTTATTTCTATTAATTTGCTGTGAAAGTTTGAATTCTTATCATTTGGTTTTGTTGTACTATATGTTCAGTTATTAGAGACAGCACAAACCCTGAGCTTCAGTTTGACAAGGGTGAACAAAGCTGACTTGGATGTGAATGCTGATGAAAGGAGCAAGAAGGACATGACAGATGATGCTGATAAGTCGAGGAATGCCGATCAAGTGGTCACATCAGAGATGGATCCTGATGAAGTCTGAAGGTTAATATGAATAAAATACAATACAATACAATTCTACACAGTACTTCACCTACTTACTCTTGGGCAATATGTTCTTATAAGAATCTTGGCCTCCTTTACAGGAGGTGCCCAATCTTCCGTCATCTGGCATCCATCATCTGTTTCTCATTGTAACTGTTCTTTGAGGTGAGGCTGTTAAGCCTTATATCCAGCCTCCTAGCCTGGAGGACTAGGGTCTGCATTTTTTTCTGGTCTCTACCTTTTGACCTGTAACTGTACCAGGAACTATCTTCTTCTGCTAGTATAGCTGTCCAGGTGATGAGGTCACAAAAAGCTCCCCACCATGTTAATATACATAGTAGTTCATGGGAGGGAATATAATGAATGTTAATGCTATCCATCAACATTGTCAAGAAGATTGTTGATAGCCAGATCCTCTTTTCATTAATAGAGTACATTTTTAATGCTGTTTTAATTTCTTGTATTCTGATACTATCAGACCATTTAATGTAGGTGCCCATTGAGCACTGGTTTAATTTGGTAAGCTTTGGAGGCCTCTAATTAACATCTCTGAGATCTTGATTAGAAATTCTTTAATAATAACATTTATCATTAATTTTGCATATTCACATCATCATCATCATCAGTAATCTGTCAAGACGACAGGTCCACAGTCTCTTTCAAAACAATTCCTCCACTTAATGCGATCTAGAGCTTTCTCCTTCAAATGACAGTATCCTCTTCTGTCCCCAAGGTCATCCAGCATCTTCTTACGTCTTCTTCCTCGTCTTCTTGTCACTTCTATCCGCCCATCTATCTTTCCTTCGATAGCTTCCTTTAGAAGGCAGTTTCTGCGTAAAACATGACCAATCCCATTAGCCTTCCGTTTTCTTATTTCATGTAGGATATTCCTCTGCTCACTGACTCTAACTAACACTTCTTCATTTCTCACATAATCGGTCCAACTGATCTTCTCCATTCCATATTCACATAGTGTAAAGAAAATACCATGTTCTTGGAAAAGGTTTTACGTGGTTGGAATAAGTTCCTGCTCCTCACATGACGTCCAAAGATATGGTTACTGGAATTATCTGTCCGTACATGTCTTTGAGAACGCTCCTTTAGCTCCTGAACGTTTTAGGAGATTTTTGTCATATCAGTATTTGTAAGTATTTACAACATACACAAGTGCACTGTTATTTAGTTGCTTATAGAGAGTATTAGCTTAAGTAGACTACACTGAGCAAATTCACACAGCAGTAACACTTCTTACATGTTTTTGGGAGGTGTCTGGTTAGAGTCTTGGCTGGCACACCGACTATCCTGACTGAAAGTTTTGTGCTTTACTAATTCTGACCAAGTGAATGCCAGAATTGTGCCTTGAAATAGGCTTCATTACTTCCGCCTACATCCCTTCCAATTCATTGTTCATTACTCGTCCTACCATTCAGTGTTGTGTAGCTGGAGATACTGCCAGTGTTTGCAAAATAAATCAAAAGCAGCTGTTTAACACTGGCATTCTGTTACATATGATAAAACCATTATGAATGCAATTTAATAGAAGTGCTGTGATTCCCATATGAAGTGTCTGCTAGAGTTTTCAGTTTATAAACAATTTTCGGTTTCAGGACTTAGAGCACGTGTTTCACATTGCTTCATTAGATGATATTAATTTTACTATTTTAATCTTCAGGATGCCCTATTATTAACCAAGCTTAGTCTGAAAAAAACTCCTCTGGGGCAGACTGCAAGGAAAACACCACCTCCAGCAGTTGGACACATTGTTTTCTATGCAGTTCATGTCATCAAGAGAAAGTAGATAATTACTTTTTTACAGAACACCTTGTTTTGTATAACAATACAAATTAGAACCATAAATCCCTTCTACTTTAAATGCATCCTTCTGGTATTTTCCCAGCATCTCCACTTACATTTATGCATCAGCATAAGCAGTAATATATGAAGGGTTTGATAGACTTCACAGTTTGAAAATGAGTTCTAGATTGAGATCTTAAAGCATTTGATTGTGTGATGCCTAATTATACTGATATGAATTTTGGTGTTAGATTTGAGGTTCTCATAATAGTGACTATGAAGATCACTGTCTTCTGGATTGTGACACCATGTAGCCTGGTAAGTAGTTACCATAATACATTGCATTGCATCCTGGAAGACAGTAATCTTAATGAATTTTTGGTATTTTCATCTTGCCATAAATAAATTTGTTCAGAAAGAATACAGTTTTCTCATAATCGCATATGTTACATCTGTACCATACCTCCTGTTAAGTATGTCCTTGTTATGATGCTTCTGCAAGACCATTATGCCTTACACTCAAGTATCAGTATAATCAGTTATTGGAAGGAGTTTCTAATTCAACCTGTTTAGTGTTGAATATTTTTTAGCGTGTTCGATGCTTTATGCTGAGCTTTTTACAAGAATGAAAAAGTCACAAAATAAATCTGCACCTAGGCTGACCTAGTGGTATCACTTGGCCTTATATTTGGGAGGTGCTCAACTTGAATCTTAGTTGGGACACCAACTGCTCAGATAGAGGTTTCTTGTGGTTTCCCTCAGTCACTCCAGGCTAGTGCCATGATTGAGCTGTGGTCACTCCCTTCTAAATCCTTTTCAATGCAGCGTTCAAAATCATCCTGTCATGTGACATTATATAGTGTGAATACTGACAACATTCTTAAATAACCAGGGGGCACACGGTAGCATAGTTGGTTGAGGCACTATGCTAGAAGCTGGAAGGTTGTGGGTTTGAGTCCCAATGAGGTGGATTTTTTAATTGACCTAATCCTTCCAGCCACGCTATGGCCCTGTGGTTGACTCAGCCTCTAACAGAAATGAGTAGCAGGAATCTTCCTGGGGGGTAAAGGGCGACCGACGTGTAAGGCTGACAACCTTACTGCCTTCTGTGAGCTGATTGTCTAGATAATGTGGGACCCTCAACATCCCACAACCCTATGGGCCTCCATGGCCTGTTACAGGGATAGCTTTTATTGTTAAATAACCAATTTAAAAAGCACTATAAGGGGGGAAAGAAGTAGCACATATAAGTTCAGTGTCAGTAGTGGAAGCAATACTGATAACATGGCTATATATATGCTCAGAAATGTTAATGATTATACCATCAGATTTATCGGTGTATTATTGTATAGGATTTCTACTGTTGCACAGGTAGTTTTATGTATGGCCATTACTTTGCTTGTTTAGCTTTTTAAAAATGTTATCTTTTGCTCAAAATTGGTGGCATGTAAGAACCAGTTTTCTTTGTGCACACTGCTCCCTGCTATGCTCTCTGACTGACCCACACACACTGCGTGAGAGATGAGTTTGTGAGAGTGGACAAGTTTTCAGCACAGCTGAAACTGAACAGCCATCTTGAAGTAACAGGACAGTAATGTAACATTCTAGTCATATGTTTTGTAATTTTATGTAACTGTGCATTTCTTATTATGTTGTATCAGTTACATAAAGTAAAGGATCTTGTACAAAATGTCACAATAAAAACTAAAGTACTGTACTTGTAAATGGGTAAAATGAGGAGGTCTTGAATAATATGCTAAATACCACTTCAAAATCCCATAAATGGAAGAACAACATGGAATCCTTTCCTTTCACATTGGGAAGGTGAGTTTCAAAGCCTCCATATCTCCTTTTTCTTGTTACTCTTGAAGAAAGTAATTCACAGGAGTACCATTTATAATAAAAGGGATTGATAGAAACAGATGGGAGAAAATTCTGTGTGAAGGAAAATCTTATTAAGACAAACAGCAATGTACATAAGAAATGTATTTGTTATAATGAAATCTAGTGGATGTATGTAACAGAGCTTCAAAATACTTTCATGATTAGGGTACTTTAATTTGAAGAGAGAAAGAAGATGGATATTTGAAGAAATTTCATGGACTGGATTCAATGAGAAGGTAATCCTCACTCAGCTGGTCAAGAAATTATCTGTCCTTTACGGAACCCGGGATTCCACACTGAATGTATATAAGCCCACCACTTGACCAGATACTGAGCCGGGTGAAGTGAGTCTGTACCTGGGTATTAAAGTCCCTGACCCAAGCACATAACTGTAAGAAGAGGGAAAAAGTAGTGCATTTCAATTCTATTCTGGACATTTGATACAGCTGTGGTTATGCCTGGTTACCACATAGATCTAAAGGCATATCAATGGGCAGTCCTGTGGTGATACACATCATATTTCATGACATTACTCAAAAGAAATATTGTGGGCAAAAATGGGTTAAAATGTATTTATAAAGTTGCAAGTTTAACTCATGCTTTATGAGAGTGTAGAATTTGAGCATCTTAGAGCAGAGACTGAGGATGTGTTAGATCATGTTGAGGTGAATATTTTGATTTAGAATACTGATTCTTCAACTATTTAATGATGCTTTTCAGGTGACCATGTTATAATATTAAATGGCAGGATGAGTGTGGAGTTATGAGTTGGAAAGGACATTATCATTGCCTGTTTATGACATCCTGACATTTGTTTGAAAGAACAGAGGATAACTACAAAATGGCATTCACAGTAGATTATGGAGTCCTGCGTAGTCAGGATTGTTGGTATCTGGGTTGAGATTCGAACCAAGAACTTCTGGTTACTAGGCAGGACTGTGGTTTGTTGTGGACTTATGAAAGATGATGTAATGGGGTAATGGAAGAAACTACACAACAAGGAACTTCTTAGTTAAGTTTTCATCTAGTATATGATGTTGAAAGCAAGAAAGTCAGTGGATGGTACACAAAGGAGTGGTTGGAGTAATGTTGACAGGAATGCCTATAGAAAAGACCAGTTGCAGATTGAATGATGTCAGAACGCATTTCAGTGAAATAGGTTAGTGAAGATTTGATGTAGCTTCGGGGTAATGTCAAATGTATGGTTTTTGTGTTGACAGAATTTATTGAGGGACTGATTAGTTCTAAACTACAAAGGGAATATCTTGGACATTGAAATAGGATGAAAGTTTCTTTTTCTTTTTATTGTTTGCATCACATGTCAAATATTCCCTGTGTGATAATTAGTTTATGGTGAGTTACTGTCAGAGGTGCCCGACTCATTTTCATTGTTTACTCTCTGTGGTGTGATTAATGAGAATCAGAAATTGTCTTGAACAGCCAGGTTCGTCCCCAGGCATTATTCCTGCTTCTGTAATTGTGCGGAGACATTAAACATGATTTCTTCCCTTAATTGAATGAATACACTATCATTTGCCTGTTCATGCTATGAGCCAGTCTCAAGTGGGCAATGAGAACCATCGGAAGTCGTCATTTACTCTGATTACCTCAGCTACACTAGTGAGAAGGGAAGTGGAACCCACGCAGAATTCAACTTGATTAGTAAATGAATTCTTGCATGCTTTTACTTTCATACAGCATCATGAGTTGGGGTAGCTCAGTCAGTAATGTTACAGTCATCCTGCTGGAAGACCGACTTTTATATGTGAGTCCTTAACACTCAATATATCGGAGTACATAGCATGGAATGGTAGGACAACTGGTAAACAATGAATTGGAAAGGATATAGAAGGAAGCTGTTATTTCATAATTGAGGTACTAGCTCAACATACCTACGTCTAGGTAGAGTGAGGAGAACCAACAAAACCCTGTCAGGACAGTCTGTGCCCTGGCCGAGATTCGAACCCAGCACCCTTCGAATAGAAATCAAGTGGTACCGCTTCAGGGAATTTGCTTGGTGACCAGGCTTTGGGCCCCAGAGGGCGCAAGGATTTTTTCCTGTGCCTCCAAGTTCAGACCAGCTCAAGGTTTCACCCAGCCTCCTTTTATTCAATGGAATATTAAGTCTATACTTCTAGATAAATGAAGCTGATTCGCCTACTTATGGTGCCGAGCTCCACCTCAGCACCTCATACACGTGTTCGTAGTATAATGCTTAGGCATAAATATGACTTTACCTTTATGTTCACCACATACTATTACACTGTGTTACACTTATGCTTATAGGTTAAAAATTAAGACATTTTTGGAGGTAAATTTTATTACATTGCTTGCAGCCCACAGCCTCAGATCCTGCCTCCCTTAAGAAAAATGTTAATGTTATCCTACCATATATGTCTGGGTCTCTGAAGTGGCCTTTTTTAAAGCACATAGATGATGTAACGACTTATTGAACTTGAGGTAGTGCTGAATTTGTTGTTTATATGATTGTGTAGCGTCTACTTTATCAATTTTGAAGTTATAATAATTTTGTAGTGTAATACAGTTATTCACTTTTTGGAAATTGACCATCCTGGTTTTATTTAAAAACAACGATTCGGAGACTAGGACTCCGTTCTCGGGTATAAAGCCTACTAAGTTGGGCCCGGAGATAGGGACTAGCTCTATCGACTGGGCCTAACTGAACTGGCTTTTTACCTGAGGACGGAGTCCAGTCTCCGAACTGTTGTTTTTAAATAGAAAAATATCAGGACATGGTTAATGTTCAAGAAGCCAATCGCAGTAATATAGCGTTATCACAAACTTGTAGATCTTACTCAATGGTCTGGTCTGTTACCAGTCACTTTCACAACTAAGTGAGTGGCAGCGGTGACCGAAGAGACCAGAACGTTTACAAGTATGTGTATTTGCTGGCTTAGAATTGGAAGATTGTTGAGTGATTTGGTGAATTAGGAAGGATTATGACGAAGGCGATCGTCGCCTGATATAAGGTCCTATCTCCGTGCTTGCCCCGAGAGACTGGAGAACCATAAAAATCAGGCTAGGTTACCAGTCATCTGGCCGAGATTCGAACCCATACCTGCTAATTGCAATGCAAATAATCTTCTGTGGTTCAACAAAGCGTTCAACTATTTGTTGCGTTCATAGTTTATTTAGCAACACCGTTCAAATTCCAGGAGTTGTATAGCGTCAGATGATATGATCGTAATTGGTCGGCAGGTAAGGATTTAGAAGGAGGCGGTCATTACCTATTTGAAGGAACTTTCTTGGCATTAGTTTAGAGAGGTTGAGGAAAACCGTGTCGGGATAAACGTTAACTCTGCCAAGATTCGAAAGGTGTTCGTCCCAAGTACATGCCTAAACTGTGACCTCTGTACCAGCCTAATAGGTCTAAAGCGTTCAGACATCGTCTGTTATCATGACTGTGATTGGTAAATTTGTACCTGTGCTTAACTAATTAAGCACTACGCCATGAAGGCGTATGGGGGAGTGGATGTATAGGTCCACAGACTGTGATTGGTAGGTCTAACTAAAAGAGGTACGGTTTCCTCTAATCTGTTAAAAGATTCCCATTGATTTTCCTACAAAGCCGAACCTCCGAAGCGTTATATTGTCTTATAGCGTGAGCTTATACTGGAACTGTTGAGGGACGAGACGAAATAGGACGAAATTTAATAATTACATACTAAACCATGTGCGTCCGCATCCCACAAAGCATCAGAGTATTCAGATTAAAACGAACAGTCTTTCATGTGGAACACTTAGATTATTTAAAAGCACGCTTGAAGCTACATTTATATGACTCAATTAAAGAGAATGTTATGCGTTCTTTGTGCTGCGTGCCCCAGCTAAACGAATACAAGGAACATAATGTCTATTTCTCCCTCCACATATTTAATCTCGATAACCGCTGGACGTGTTTTGATGAAATTTTATTATTTCACAGATCATTACAGAAGAGTTATAGCGCCATTTTCATTGTAATAAAGACCTGCAACATTGAAGTGTACCTACATAATGGAGTGTTGTTACAAAATACGTATTTTCATGTGTCATTGACCCCGTACGGCAAATCCTATCAG